TCTACCACTCGAGCCAGAGTTCTACGTCTGGCTTATTTGCTGGTTATGGAGCCCTGAATGGCCTCAAACATCTATCCTCAGATCTCAGCATTCTTAGACTTCAGGCTATGTGCTTACCTCTTAGAGACAGCAGGTGGCGCTAACCACAGCTTAGACAAGATTAAATGCTGTGGTGCGAATCTAGATTCAGTTGGCTGCCTAGCTATTCTAGATCTCGGTGTAGGTTTTTTCCCAACTATACTAAACAGAAGTGTAAGGTTTTTTCTTTTCCTTTGCATTTTGCTTTCTTCTTATTAGAGATAATTTTTTAATGTAAATCTAACCTTCATCTTGTGCCATTTTTTAAGCTAAAAATCTTCACTCATCCTTTGAACGTATAGTTTTGAAAATGTAAAATATTTGAAAGCTTACTTGATTAATAAGTTAATATTTGCCAAATGCTTTCTGCTAGATCTTGGGAATCAGATGGATAAGCCATAGTAGCTGCTCTTAAAGAATGTAGCTTATAATTTTTGTAGTGTTCTATAATCTCATGGAAAAGACATGTGTTTTTCACAATGTTGAGAAGGTGTTGTAAAAATAATTTACACCATTTTCCCCCCCTACAGAGACACAATAGAGCAAGGTATCTCACGGTCTGGGGCTTGACCTACATACAGTAGTTCTGGGTTGCAGATGGCTGATTTAATCTCCCCTTGGTGACAAACAGTTGCTCTAGCTAGAAAACCAGTTCCCATGGAGCTTTGGTCCCAGAGGCTGACCTTGCCCTGCCACTGCCTCCTCCACACCGTCTGTCACAGGCTTGAAACCATCACCTGCTGCCAAGCCGTACAACCCAGATTCTCTCCCTACTTTTGTGGCACTACTCTGCTGCTAAAACCAAGACTACATTTCTCATCCGTTGGAAATGATGTGTGCCCCCTCCACTAAACTTCCTACCTGCTGCCAACTGTTGGGACTGATGTCAGGAAATGCTGGAAAGGAGAACCTAGAATGTAGGTTCATGCTCTTGGATGTTCCAAGATGCCCCACGTGGGGGAGTCCTTTCGGTATTCAATCCAGCAAATATTAGGAAGCTCTTCCTCTGTGACAGCCACTGGGCTTGGAGCCAGCACTGGTTAGATCAATAGGAGTTTTGGCTCAGCCACATATGTCTCAAATAGAGGGTTGTGGATCTCTGTAATTCATTGATGTCATTGTCTCTGTGGGACTTCCACAAAGCTCATCACGGCACAATTTCTAAAAATTCCTGGAGTTATATTTTGTCACTTCCAGGCTTCTTGAGCATTGTTACCCCCTCCTTTGTTTTTCTCCTACTATTCCTTCCCTCCCCCATCTCCCTCACTCCTTCCCCCCCACCCAAGTTGTAAAGTTCATTTTCAACATAGTGTCTTGTGAGTCTCATTGTGGCAATGTTGTGTCCTTGTTTCAGCTTTTACTAGCTTTGTGACCTTGAGAAAGTGACATACCACCTCTGGATCTCCATTTCCTCATCTGTAAATGAAGACTCTCATTCCACTCTCGCAGAGTTATTGTAAGGATTAATAAATTTTATTTATAAAGGATCAGGAGCAATGCCTGGCAAACAGTAAGGTGAAATGTGTTAAATAGAGACATTTACAAACAACTCTTAGACTATAACTCTACATGAAGTAAGGAACTGATTTTGGTTTTAGTGACAAATTGATGAGATCAGTATTCATTCTGTCTCTGACCATTCAAGAGTAATTCTGGAGCCTTGGTAGTACACACTTGTAATACCAGCACTCAGCAGGATGATGTGGGAGGGTCATGAGTTAAAGACTAGCCTGGCTACATAGTGAATTTGAGGCCAACCTGAGCTATGTAGGAAGAACTATCTAAAAAAACAAACCAATAGGAAGTGCCTCTGTGGCTCAAGTGGTAGAGCACTTGCCTTGAGCTGAAGAGCTGAGGCACAATGCCCAGACCCAGAGTTCAAGTCCCACGACTGACAAAAAAAGACAAACCAGCAAACTGGACGGGTACTTGTGGCTCATGCCTATAATCCTAGCTACCCAGGAGGCTGAGATCTGAGAATTGCAGTTCGAAGCCAACCTGGACAGACAAATCTGTGAGTCTCTTATCTCCAGCTAACTGTTAAAAAGCCAGAATTGTGTGTAGTCCAAGTGGTAGAGCACCAACTATGAATGGAAAGCTCAGCAACATCAGATCTGGCACAATTAAAATAAATTAGCAGAAGTTATAAAACTAGAAAACAATATTATATATGTATGGCAATCTATCAGCTTTTATTTTAAACATCCTATAAAATGCAAACCTATATTAATTGGTGTTTATTACCATGGAAACCTACACCTGCATTTATACTAGCCCTATTCTGTCTCAAGTGTCATTTTTCAAAAATGTGTTTCAGTGATTTATGTTTCCTTTAGATAGATATCATCTGTTACTAATACTTTTGTGTTTCTATGTATTTTTAAAACTATTTTTTGTCTTTTCTTTTTAGGTACTGGGGATCAAACCCAGGACGTTGCACGTGCTAGGCAAGCGTTTTGCCACTGAGCCACATCCTAGCCTTCTATATTGTTTGCAAGGAAAGATGGACTCTATCATTAGCTACATCTGACTACAGACCCTATCCAAGCGTCTTGGGCTTGAAGTGGCACTAGGGGCAGTAGTCGTAGGGCTAGCGTGCTGCAGCTCTGCCCTGTGTATTTCAGGGATCTGTGGTGAGACTTCTTTTGCAGCAAAGTGTTAACTGAGTATGTTGGAATATTCTGACCAGATTCTATGGAATCTGCAAGTCCCATAGAAAGGTTTAGCTGTCTTAACTCTTTAGGGATAACTCATAAACCTTGGAATATCTTATCCCACAGAAAGTGTTTGTATTCCAGGGGTCTTGGGCTGAATTGGAGACTTCATGTTAACAGTGTCATTTATACTTGGTCCTTGAGCTCTAGCAGTTTGATCTCTGAAAGGGCTGGAGACTGGGTAAATAAGATGGGTCATGTGGGCACTCAATACCCAGGTGAATGACCCTGGACCCTGAGGTTTGGATGGGCTTCTCTAATTGGCAGTATTACATATATAATGTCACATACCATGGCTGGGAGAACTTAATGCTGTTTCCTTCCTTCCTACCTTCCTTCCCTTCCCCTGCCTCCTTCCCTCCCTCCCTTCCTTCCTTCCTTTTTTCTTTCTCTTTCTTTCCTTGTTTCTCTTCCTTCCTTCCTTCCTTTCTTTCTTTCTCTTTCTCTTCCTTCCTTCCTTCCTTTCTTCTTTCTTTCTTTCTCTTTCTTTTTTCTTCCCTTCCTTCCTTCCTTCCTTCCTTCCTTCCTTCCTTTCTTTCTTTCTTTCTTTCTTTCTCTTTCTTTCTTTCTTTCTTTCTTTCTTTCTTTCTTTCTTTCTTTCTTTCTTTCTTTCTTTCTTTCTTTCTTTCTTTCTTTTTTCTTCCCTTCCTTCCTTCCTTCCTTCCTTCCTTCCTTTCTTTCCCTTCTTTTTGATTTGAGGGTTTATTAAACTACCCTGAATCAATCAAATAGCAATTTGAGTGCAGTTTCTGCTGTTATTGAGAAATATTTCAATTCATTATTAAAATACCTTTTGTAGGTATACAGATTTGTGACAAATGTATACAGCTGAATAAGAATTTCCATTTGGAAGCATCAACCTAGCTCATGAGAGAGGATGGGATAGTAAGTTGAGAAGAGGGGTGTAGATCACTTCAGTATATAAATTGCAAGATATTTTTTTCTAAGTTAAAATTTTCTCTAATATATATATATATTTTTTTTTTTTTGGGGGGGGTCTGGTCGTGGGGCCTGAACTCTGGGCCTGGGTGCTGCCCCTCAGCTCTTCAGCTCAAGGCTAGCGCTCTACCACTTGAGCCACAGTGCCACTTCCAGCTTTTTTCTTTTTGCGTATGTGGTGCTGAGGAATCGAACCCAGGGCCTCGTGAATGCAAGGCAAGCACTTTACCACTGAGCCACCTTCACAGCCCCGCTCTAATATTTTAATGCCTTTGTTTCACATCATCTGGCATTTTGGCTGAAGTGGCCTCTGCGAAGATTGTATCAGAAAAATCACAAAGGTAATTCAGGGAGAATTACAGTACTATCATCTTTTCTACTTAATATTTTTACAGGAAATCTTAATAAAATATTCCTGAGTAGATTTAAAATATATTCACAGAGGGCTAAGGATATGTAAGTATCTAGGGGCAACATTTGATCTAAGGAAATTATAGTATCAGCTCATCTTACTCATTTTTCTTTTTTCGAGATGAATCCTCTGGTTAAGAGAGTTATGAACACTAACTGTAAAATAACCTTGCAAAACAAGTTGATAACTTTATAGATATAATTTGCATTCTGCACCAGGATGTTTCTTCAATCTCTCTTATATTTGTAATATGTATTTTAATATGTATTCATAATAATGAAGCTGAAAATTAGATTATTATAAATATTGAGTATTAAAAAATAAGAATTAACACTTACTGAGTTCTTACCCCATAAGTATACTTTAAGGTAATTAATTTAATAGTTACAACAACTATTTGAGACAAATGATTTTATTATTCACACTTACAGATGAAGAATCTAAAATGCACACATCTTAGCTATTATGAAAGGAAAATAGGTATTAAAAAGTCAAAATATAGTAGATGAAACATTTAATAAAAATGTGTTTATTCCTTCTGATTTAGTCGGATTTATCTGGAAAGCCTCATAAAAATCTAGGGGAAAAATCTGTTAGATATTATGTGAAAGTTTTCCCACAAATGAGAAACTGTTAGATACCCATCTATCTGTACCAGATATAAATATTTTAAAGATAAGACAATCACTGGTGATGATTTGCTCAAGGGAGAAGGTTTATTGAGTACAAAGTATTGATTATAGATAGCTGTAGAGTAACCAAGTGAATCATATTTGCACATGACATTCTTTCAGATGAAGGGGCAGATCTACTTTTGATTGTCCAGAAAGAGAAAAGAACAGAAAGACCATAGGACAGACATTTTACTTAGACTTGCTCATATTCCCAGACTCAGTTAATGCCTTTTCTTGGAAGGAGTTTGGCTGTTCTCTGTTAATTGCTTTGAGATTTCTCTTCCAGAGAGTGGAGCCTGGTGGTAAGGATCTTGCTTCGCTGGTCTACCTCCTCAAGAACTTTCTTAACTACTATGGGTTTGGCTGAATCTGAAAAATTAAAATTTAAAGGAGATTTTTACGGTTAAAAAAAGATAAATAAGAAATTATATCAATTAACAGAATAATAAGATTTTATATACAGAATGGGCTAAGTAGAAAGCATGCATACTTAAGAATAATACATTTTTGGGTGAAGTTTGGTTACTTTAAAATCATAGTAACGTATGACTTTGTTTAAAATTAAAATACATTACTAAGTTAGACATCTAGTACACATACACACTGGTGTCTACTATAAATCTTGATTACATCTAGCCTTACCAATCTCAGGTAATATAAAAAAGCAGTCTTCATTGGAAAGGAGGTATAGCATAACAACGGACTTTCATTACCTTTGATTTGAGTTCCCACATTTCCAGCTCCATAATCTTTAGACTTGTAACCTGAAGACTTGCAAGCCCTGCAAAGACATCACAAATAAGAATGATTTCAAGAGAATGCCTTCAGTTCTAGATCCTCTATTAAGCTTTCTTTAGCTCTTTGGTGAGAACATATCCAATCGGTTGCACAGTTGAAACTGCTGTTTTCTCATTAAGAAGTGGTACTTTTAGCCAAGCAAGTGTAGTATATGTCTGTAATCCCGGCCCTTGGGAGGCTGAGGCTGGAGGATTTGGAGTTTGAATTCAGACAGGAGACCTTGTCTCAACCTCAAGAGAATGGTATATTTTTAATTTTCATACCTTAAGCAGAGGGCTTGTTGCATTTGATCTTGTGAAGTATTGCTAATTCATAGCTGGCTAAATGGTATTATTAACATTCAGCATTCATGGTTGTGAGAACATTAGTTCTTAGTCACTTCCCAGATCTAAGTTTCAAGCCAGTTTCAGGATAATCATGATTCAGTGTCAGTGGAGGGTTGGTTCCATGACCCCAGTGGATACAGAAATCCCAGTGCAAGTCTCTTACAAAATGGTATGATATTTCCACATAACATCTTCTGTATGCTGTATAATAATCATCTCTAGGTTACTTATAAAATATCAATACAATGTACATCCTCTGACACAGGTTGTGATAAGGTACTCTTTAGGGAATAATGAAATAGGAAATCTATACATGTTCAGTATAGATGCATTTTGAAACTTTTGGATATTTTCCTCTGTGATTGGTTGTTATCCATAAGGAAGGGCTCCAGATTGGAATCTTCCATGTAAATTACTTTACCTACCCCTCATCTCCTCCTATCAGGAGGCAGTAGGTCTCGATCTCCTTCTCCAGGTGGACCTTGATATCCAGCAGTTGCTCATGCTCCAGCTTCTGGCCCTCGGTCTCAGTCCTGACCTGGTGCAGCTGCTCCTCTAGGGCCCCGATCTGAGCCTGGATCTGGGCCAGCTGAGTGCAGTAGTTGCCCTCTGTCTCTGTCAGGGAGCACTCCAGGGATTGTTTCTGTCAGGGAACAGAACAGGGAACCTGAGGCAGATAGATACTGACAGGCAGATAGGTCTTTGATATATGATATATGATTTCCTCTTCTTAGTAGCTTGAACTATAGTTATTTCAGATTTCCCATCAACTCATTGTTAAGATGACTGCTGCTTTGTAAATAAATAGGCAAATCTTTCTTTATGGTAGAATAGACCTAGTGGCTTTGGGGTTGCTGTTTTAGCTGATTCATGATCCCATTGTTTCCTATTATTTCAGGTCTGCTATAAAAATCTATGTCATTGCTAGTGGCTCCCACCTCTAACCCTAGCTCCTTGGAGGCTGTGATCTGAGGCTCCTGGTTAAAGGACAGGAATGTCCTTGAGACCCTTACCACCAATTAACCAGCAAAAAGCCAAAAGCAGAGCTGTGGCTCAAGTGAAAGAACACCATTCTTGAGCCAAAAAGCTAGGGCACAGCAATCAAGCCCTGAGTTCAAGCCCCAGGTTCAGCATGCACACACACACACACACACACCTATGTGCATATCTTTTCATCACTGTTAGGGGCATTAAAAACTCATGGCACATATTCAGCAAGCACCTAGGAGCTGGGAGCATAATGCTTCCATACCGTGGCTAACAGGGATTGGAGCTCAATCTCCAGGGTTTGCATGGTGCGCTTCATCTCGGTCAGCTCGTTCCGGGCAGAGGTGGTGGCGCCGACGTCCTCGGAGATCTGCTGCTGCAGCGAGGCGCTCTGAAACGAGGAAAGTCAGGGAGCACAGGTTAGGGCCCTGAGCATCCTCAGAGCGCACGGGGCGGCCGGTGACAGGCCGGCAGATACCTTTTCGTTGAACCAGGCCTCGGCATCCCTGCGGTTCTGCTCGGCCAGGGCCTCGTACTCGGCCCGCATGTTGTTGAGCAGCACGGTGAGGTCCACCCCGGGCGCCGCGTTCATCTCCACGTTCACGTTGCCTCCCGCCGCGCACTGCAGCACTTGCATTTCCTGTAGGCAGAGAAGGGTTCAGCTCAGCCATGCAGGCATCCCTGGAAAGTTCTAGAAGCTTAGCTTTGGAAGAGCTCTGAAATGTCTGTTTTTGGTTTTTTGAATTCCCAGGCTGTGTGCAATGACCTCTTCCCTCCATGTGCCCATTCAATTTGCCTTGAAAAGATGGTGAACACATCACCATTTCATGGGGTAGCCCTGTTGCATTCTGGATGATTTCTTGGGCTTCTGTTTGTTTGTGTTGAATCAAGATCACAGTGTATAGCCCAGTCCTCCCACCCAGTCTTCCTAGTACAGGGATTACAGGAATGCACCACTGTGGTTGACTTGGAATAAGAGTATGAATTGTTCCAGAGCTTTTCCTTATGGTGAACTGGGCTTTTAGTCTTGTAACCCCAACTCATCAGTGTTAGCTTTGTTACCCAGAATAAGTCTTCATTCCTTTTCCAATGAAAATCTTTAAAAAAAAGTCTTAAAAAATTCCTTTTTCCGTATGAAAGTCTTTAAATTGTCCTCTGAACTCTTTAGCTACTTGTGACATAAATAGGCATCCTTGTAATGGGCTTCATGTCACTAAAGTTCACCTTCCATGAGCTCTCAACTTGGGTGCATCCCAGAAACAGACATAAGGAACATGATCAGAGTTTGAATAATTCTGAACAATTGAAATGATAATCAATCATTCAATCATTAAGTTCCCCTAGGGAAGAAAGAAGCCGGCTGCCTGTGATGCTCACACAGTGACATTCTATTGATCTGTTGGACTTTGGAGTCAGATAAATCTCTTTGTGAATTCTGGCTTTGTCCTCTAGTGGTGGTGTGAATTGGGGAATGTTGGTTGACCTACTTAAGTCTGGATTTACTTATCTGAAAATTGAGAGTATGTAAAAATCCACATTCTTTCGGTTGTTTAAAAAGAAGCAAAATAAGTAATAATCATAAGACTTAGTCACGTTGCCTGGAATATTAATGGTAAACACATGCAGGTTATTATAATTACTTTCATCATGGAAGCTGGAGTCCACATCTACACTTTATTATGTCTGAATTGTGTGCAGTTGGGATGCATATGCAATGTGAGTTGTTTTTAAGATTGTGGAGAGTGGGCATTCCTTGAGGAGTCTGTGTAAATTAAATTTGTTTTTTTTTTTAGACAGTCTCTCGGTGTAGCCCAGGCTGGCTTTGAACTGTTCTTTCTGCCTCTACCTCCCAAGTCTTGGTATTACAGGTGTGCACTACCATAGCTGGCTTTTAAGTCTGTGCATTGAAATGACATAGCTCAGTATATGTGTCTGCTGCAGAAACTCTCCTTCCAACTCTGGATTACTCTGTGATGAGGCTTTCTTTCTTCTATGTCTCACACTGTTTCAATGTCCTTTCCTCTGTGGTGGATTCTGTGCATCAATGGCTCACTATGGCTTTTATTCCTGAGCAGTTAGTAAAATTTCCCTCAGTTCAAGCAGAAAAAAAGAGAAAAAGGTCATTGCAAGAGAAGAATTAAAACGATTACTTGCTTACAATTCATCAAAAATGTATTAAATGATTTCCATGGACTGCACCCATACTTGAATTTGTAAGGTCAAATGATTCAAGTGATTTTATTTGCAAGACAGCCTCGTGACTAACCAAGTATCATTCTCAACATGACTAATCTGCTTTAAGCAGTTTACTTAACTTTGGAAGTCTCTTTGCTATTTAACAATATTAAATTTATTTAAAAGTATAAAGATATTCCTTCCTTCCTTCCTTCTTTTCTTTTTCTTTTTAAAGAAAAAAGTAGGTCTAAAACAGAATCCCAAAGATGAAATGGTTGCATGATCTGATTTTCAATCTAGCTTCCCAGAGTGACCCCTTTGAAATGTAGTATGTGCTTGGAAGTATAAAAAATTATAGAGTAAAAATTTAATTGCTGTTTCATTTTTCTAGCCATATTTATTAAGATATGTCTTTATGATAAGTATATGTACTTAAAGTGTGTAACTGTTACATAGTTTTGTTTTTTTAAGGATCCCCTTAAAGTATATTCATTTAATCCAATTAGATGTAATCTGCTAAGTAGACTATTTTAACTCAGCTATAATTACATAGCCAAATACTGATCTTATAACACTGGTTATGTTGGAAAGCAAGATTCTTTTATCTTCTCATGGGAAACTAGATGAGAGAACAAGGGTGAACTGGTACAGGGAATTCAACACAAAGACAAGTCAGCCCTTCTGCCTTTGACAGATCACAATGGGGCTTTAGACTGACTTCTTATTTAAGAGGTTTAGTACACTGTCTCCTGTTGGGTGGGCAGTATGCACAGAGGGAGAGTACAGTGGAGGGCAGGCAACTCTTACCTCTTTGTGGTTCTTCTTGAGGTAAGTCAGTTCCTCACTCAGGGTCTCGTACTGAATCTCCAGGTCAGTCCTGCACAGGGTGATTTCATCCAGAACTCTGCGTAGCCCATTGACATCAGCCTCTACACTCTGATGAAGAGCCAGCTCATTTTCATACCTTGAAAAGTAAATTTTTTTCCAATTTGTCACATGGTTTGAGATCGTTACCAATCAATTATAATGCTAAAACTGTGTGTGTGTGTTTGTGTGTGTGTGTGTGTGTGTGTGTGTGTGTGTGTGGTGTGTGTGTGTGTGGTGTGTGTGTGTGTGTGTGTGTGTGTGTACCGGTACTGAGGCTTGAACTCAGGATCTGGATCTCTCACTTAGCTTTTTTCCTCAAGGCTGGTGCTCTACCACTTGAGCCACACCTCCACTTCTGGCTTTTATTTTTTTTTGCTGGTTCATTGGAGTTTAGAGTCTCATGGATTTTTCTGCCTGGGCTAGATCTAAACTGTGATAGTCACATCTCAGCTCCTGAATAGCTAGGAGTACAGTGTGAGCTACCAGTGCCAAGCTGTCTCTGGTATTTTTGAAGTAGCAACTTTGACCACAAGAAACATTTTCAAAATTTATTGTATATAATTATTATTCTTGAATCCCTGGGTATTGGACAGAAAAAGAAATAGGTTATATAAAACAATAGCTATATGGGAATTCATTAAAACTAGCCAAAATATAGAAAAGTAGTAAGTTTCTAGTAATTTTAAATTTATATTTTAAATAAGAATATTGTTCTAATCTTATTATATTATTATAATAAGCTTCCATGTTAAAGTCTAGAACTTTGCAGTTTTTGGAATAAGAGTGAGTAACATTTAATGGTGACATTAAAAAGGAAACGAGTCATTTCATTAATGACCACGAGCTGTTTTGGCTCTGCAAGTCCACTTACTTGAGTCTGAAATCATCAGCTGTCAGCCTGGCATTATCGATCTGTAGAACAGCATTAGCATTGCTGGTGGTGGAAGCGATGATCTAAAAATAGGGAGTTTGAGTTTTATTTTTAAAATTTATTTTGTTCTAGTCCTAGGACTTGAATTCAGGGCCTGGATGCTGTCTGTCCCTGAACGTTTTTGCTCAAGGCTAGCACTCTATCACTTGAGCCACAGTTCCACTTCCAGCTTTTTGGTGGTTAATTGGAGATAAGAGACTTGTAGACTTTTCTTCCTGAGCTGACTTCTAACAGTGATCCTCAGATATCAGCCTCCTGAGTATCTAGGATGATAGATGTGAGCCACTGATCCCTGGCAGGAGTAGGATTTTTTTTTTTTTGCCTGCCTTGGAGTTTGAACTCAGGGCCTGGGCACTGTCCCTGAACTTCTTTTGCTCAAGCCTAGTACTCTACCACTTGAGCCACAGCACCACTTCGGGCTTTTTCTGTTTATGTGGTACTGAGAAATGGAACCCAGGGTTTCATGCATGCTAGGAAAGCACTCTACCACTAAGCCACATTCCCAGCCAGGGTTTGAGTTTTCAGTGGCAATTTATCACAATGAGTTAAACTCCACCCCTCCTCCGCACTAGCAAATGGAAATAATGAAAATCAACTCAGTTATTAGTGACATTTTTATCAGGAGGCTAGTCAACTGAATCTACTTAGCACTAACTTCCAATGCTGAATTAAAATTCCCTGTAAGAAATAATCACAAATAGGATGGAAACGTGTCTCTAGAATTCTAGTGACATGAAATCCAGACCTAAAAACATATGCAAATCCATGTGATGGCCAAATGTTATTTCTTACCTGGTTTTTAAGATCATCGATGATAGGAAAATATCTACTGTAGTCATGGTCAAGACCCCTGCAAGAGCCGGGTCCAAATTTCTCATACCAGCCCTTGATCTTCTGCTCCAGGTCGGCATTGGCTTCCTGCAGGGCTTGCACGTTATCCAGGTAGGAGGCCAGGCGATCGTTGAGGTTCTGCATGGTCACCTTCTCATTGCCAGAGAGGAGGCCTCCCTCGTTCAGGGTAAAACCGGCGCAAGGGTTGCCTGTCCCTGCATTGGCCCCTGAGGAACTGCCACCAAAGGCACAAGAGAAACTGCTTCCAATGCCTGGGATGCCGCAGGCATTTCCAGCTCCAAAGCTGCCTGCTCCCCCAGAGAGCCTGAGTGACCCTGTGCTGGGCCGGGGATAGGATCTCCGGGATCCACTGGAAAGTCGCAGAGACATGATGATTGCAGGGCAAGCGAGTCACAGATCTGTATTGGTGGAAGCCAGAATGGATCGTCTTCTCCCCTCCACGATGTTGTTCGCCTTTTTATATACCATTGCCAAGGGTGTTCTATAGGGGAGTTCTGCCTACTTAGAGTAAAACATGGCTTGCCCGCCTCAGCAAGTTAGTGTAATTGCACGATTTTTTTTTTTCCTAATTAGTATCTAGCTTCGTTGGGCTCCTTTCAGGAGGAGGGCAGTTGCCCTGGGGTTGGTGGTTATCTGAGAAATGGGTCTGGGTGGAGCAGTGTCAGGTTCACCATTACATTTTAAAATTGCCAATGAGTCATTCTGCATTTCCTCCCTAAGGAGATAAAGCTCATCAGGCCATTACAGAATTAAAAAAAAAAAAAAAATCAGGCCTTGTGGTTTTGGGGCTATTAAGCTAAGGTGGGTTTTGAAGTTTCCGAGGCTCTTTCTGCTTTTATTCTCACAATTCTTTTGGGATTGGTTGAGAAGAGAAACTGTAATCATGACTTGACCTGGAGTCCGCTGGTCATGAGGCTTTTGCGTTTATTTTGTTAGTGATGATTGTTTTTTGTCTCCTTTTGCCACCATTTCCGAAGGGAAGTTTAACTACCATTTTGGCTGACACATGCAACACGTTTGTTGACGCGTCTGATGGGGATAGTTGTCTCCTCTTTTTCCTTTGGATAATTGAGAACACACCTCCCCTAATTGTTGTTATGTTTTGTGGGAGTTTGGAAAGACATTAGCCTCTTTCCTGACCCTGCAAAATTTGAAGCAAATCTGGAAGGAATTTATTGGATGTATGTTTACTTCAAGTGGTTTATTTAGCTTAGGTGAAAGTCATAAGGAAGGCTAGCTAGATATATCTTATCAAAAATTCTATTAAATATTATAGAAATGATAGCCCCATATTTGTGGTGTAGAATATGATGTTTTGATACGTATAACATTCTGGAATGCCTAAATAAGGGTGATTAACATTCCTATTACCTCACATAGTTTTGCAGTTAGGACATTTAAAATCTATTCTTTGCAATTTTCAAGCATTAAATACATTGTTACTAATGATAGTCACCTAATTGTACAATAGACCTCTTGAACTTATTTCTTCCTTCTAATTAAAATTTTATATACTTAGGACAATGTCTCTCCCATTCTTTCCCTTGGTGGTTAGCGTGATGTTGGATAATTTTTTTCAAATACGTTTTGGTTCTTTGAATGTCTTCTTTTAAGAATTGTCCTTTAAATCAGGTTATTTTCTTGTTATTGGGATGTTAGAATTCTTTATATATTTTGGAGATTAAACCGTAATCAGATTTACAGTTTACAAATGTTCTCCTAATATGTGGGGTATCTCTGACTTTTTAAATACTTGGCTGTGAAAAAACCCTTTTTCAAGTTTACATAGACCCATTTTTTTCTTCCTTGCTTTTTGGGGGTCAAAAAAACATTTGTACAGACCAATATCAAGTTTTGCTCTATATTTTCTTATAATAGCTTCACCATTTTTTTAGGTTTTGTGTTTAACTGTTTAATCCATTTTGAGTTGATTTTTGTATTTAGTATGCAATAAAGGTTCAATTTCTTTCTTCCACATATGGATATCACTTATTCTCATTTTTTTTTAATTGAAGAAAGTGCCCAATTTCTATTCTTAGCACTATTTCTTTTCTTTTTTTTTTGAAAAAAAAAAAGAAGATTGCAACTGCGAGCATGTATTTCTGGGCTGTTTATTCTGTTCCAGAGGTCTGGAGATGAGTTTTTGCACCAAGACTATGATGTTTTGATTATTTAGAGCTTTATAGTAGATTCTGAGATTAGATGAAATGATATATCCAACTTCATTCTTTTTGTTCTTGTCTCAGGATCTTTTGTGGTTGCATATGAATTTCTGAGAAAAATTACATTGCAGTTTTGTTTTACTTATTTATTTAGTCAGTCATGGGCCTGAACTCTGGGCCTGGGCGCTGTACCTTAGCTCTTCAGCTCAAGGCTAGCACTCTACCACTTGAGCCACAGTGCCACTTCCGGCTTTTTCTGCTTATGTGGTGCTTAGAAATTGAACCCAGGGCCTCATGCATACAAGGCAAGCACTCTACCACTGAGCCACCTTCCCAGCCCCAGTTTTGTTTTGTTTTGTTTCTGTTTTTTGTCAGTCTGGGCCTGGGTGCTATCCCTCAGCTTTTCAGCTCAAGGCTAGCACTCTAGCTCTTGAGCCACAGCGCCACTTGCAGCCTTTTCTGTTTATGTGGTGCTGGGGAATTGAACCCAGGACTTCATGCATACAGGGAAAGCACTCTACCATTGAGCCACCTTCCCAGCCCACATTGCAGTTTTTTTTTAAAAAAATAATTGGAATTACATCAAATCTGTAGATCATTGTAGCTATCATGAATCTTTTAACAATCCCAATTCTTCTAATCTATAGACATGTGATATCTTTCCATTAAATTTGATTTCTTTAATTCCTTTCATGTTTTATAGCTGTCAGTATAAAGATCTTTCACCTCTTTATATTTTTCTTCTATTCTTTTATGTTATTGTTAAAGGTACTGTTTTCTTGACTTTCTTTTTGAGAGAGTTTGTGATTAGTGAGTAGCAATGTTACTTTCAATTGTTGACTTTGTATCTTACAACTTTGTTGAATTTATTTATTAGTTCTAACAGACTGTGTGTGTGTGTGTGTGTGTGTGTGTGTGTGTGTGTGTGTGTGTGTGTGTGTGTGTGTGTTAGTCCTGGAGCTTGAACTCAGGCCTATTCCAGAGCTTTTTTGATCAAGGATACTACTCTACCACTTGAGCTATACCTCTACTTTGGTGGTTAATTGAAATAAGAATATTATAGACTTTTCTGCCCTAGATCAGCTTAGAACTGTGACCTTCAGATTTCAGCCTCCTGAGTAGCTAGGATTACAGGTATGAGCCACCAGAAACTAGCTAATTCTAACAGATTGTAATAAAGTGTTTAGAGATATCTTACGTAAACAGAGATGATTGACTTTTCTAATGTGGCTGTCTTTAATTTCTTGTAAGATAACGGCTTTGGTGAGGATCTCCAGTGCTATGTTGAATAGAATTAGTGAGAATGGATGCCTTTGTTTTGTTCCTGATTTTAGAGGAAAAGCTTTCAGTTTCTCATTAAGTATGGTGTTTAATGTGGGCATGGCAATATGGTCATGATTATTGTTACTACTATTATTATTATTAATTATTTTGGTGCCAGTATGTGGGCTTGAACCTAGGACTCAATATTTGTGTTCTAACACTTGAGTCATAACTCCACTTCTGGCTTTTTGGTGGTTAATTGGAGATAAGGGTCTCATGGACTTTCTTGCCCAGACTGGCTTGGAACCACAATTCTTAGATATCAGCCTCCTGGGTAGCTAAGATTACAGGTGTAAGCCACTAGCACCTGACTCAATTTCTATTTTATATCCTATGTGATCTTCCTTTTATCATTTAACCACTTGAATTAAAAAAATATTCAGCTGTTTATTTGTATTCTTTAAAAAAGTTCATTCAGGTATTGATATGTGTATTTAATTTTATTGATCATTCTTACAACTATTCTTTGAGGAATTCTTTGAGATTTCATCCACTTTCATTGGAGTCCATTCTTGTGTACTTATTGGCTTCTTGAAGACCTTTGTTGCTTTGTTTAAAAAAAAAATTTTTTTTTGGTTGGTTGTAGGGCTTGAACTCTGGGCTTGGGTGCTGTCCCTGCACTCTTCGGCTCAAGCTGAGTGCTCTACTGCTTGAGCCACAGCGCCACTTCCAGTTTTCTAGGGGTTTTATTGGAGATAAGAGTCTCATGGACTTTCCTGCCCGGGCTGGCTTTGAACTGTGATCCTCAGATCTCAGCCTCCTGAGTAGCTAGGATTACAGGCGTGAGCCACCGGTGCCTGGCTTTTGTTTTTAAATTTGTCTTGTATTTTTGAATTGGGATTTGTATATCAAGGTCAAGTCATTGGGAGTTATAATCACTTGTTCAATTTGAATGTTCCCAGTGTTCAGGCAGGACTGTTGAGTGGCAGGATGGAGGTGAACGTTTTCATCATCAGAATAGGGGTATAGCTGAGTATTCAAACATTCACCTGTGGAAGTCAGGGTACCAGGCCTGACTTGTGGCATCACTCAGACCATGGAAAACCTACTGAAGTCTCTTGTAGTGCCTAGTGTATTGGTTGGTGCTAAATGTGATTTGAGGGAAGGGCTGGTTAAAGATCAATTGTTCATTTCTGTGCCTCACTTGAGAAGCAGACCTTTTTTTTTTTTTCTTCAGACCATAAGCTAGTGTGCAGCCCATGGGCTAGCAAGGTCCCTATGTTCCCCAGGTGTCCAGTTTGTGCCCCTAGGAGCAGCAAGGGGAAGCTTGGTGGTGTTCCTGATGAGTTCTTCACTCATCATTCTTATTTTTCTGTTCAGCTTACATTGTACTAGACAGCAGATGAGGATTGTCTATAGAGTATTGTTGTTTTAGTTGTCCCAAATTAGAAAGAAGTCCACAGTAGAATGTATACTTTGTGGCAAATATAGACTGGCAACAGTTTTAAAATATTTCTGTCTACTATATGAGAATGAACAGTTTGTGTGTATGTGTTCATGCTGGGGCTTGAACTTGAGGCCAGGGCACTGTCATTGAGCTATTTTGCTCAAGGCTAGTGTTGTATCTTTTGAGTTCCACTTAGGGCTTTTATGGTAATGGCCTGGAGATAAGAGTTTCATGGGCTTTCCTGCTCAGGCTGGCTTTGAACAGCAATTCTCAGATCTCAGCTTCCTAAGTAGCTGGGATTATAGGATTGAACCACTAGCAGTGAGTATGAACAGTTCTTAATTATGCTGGGTGTCATCTTTTACATCCATACAAGCCTAAACCCAAAGTGATTAGGTTATTTATGTACCAGTGACATATTTGGGCCTAGAGGTAGGGTCAGTGTACTTTCCAATATGTCATTATTAATTGAGGTAAATGCGACCCTGAAGTATATTGTTTTATTAGTATGGCTTTAATGTTGTCACCTAGAGATCAACTGTGGAAATTTAAAGGAATCAGATTAATAAAAAAAACTTGTGACAGGAACTTTTTTTTAATGGAATGGCAAAAGGAAAAAAAAGACCCACAGAGTAAAAGAAAAAAAAAAAAAACTAGGCAGAGAGAAAGATGTTTCCTCCTCTTGAAAGGATTACATGCAAAATCCAGGAGAAAAGTTAAAAGGAAATGAGATTATAGACCTTTGATGTTTAAGGTCAGAGTGAATAATTTCCTTGGGTGACTTGAGCAGTGGGGTGGGGCAAAGGGGCAATGCAAAGCTTGCATTGTTTTTAAAAGAACTTTATCCCTCTTAGGATGCTTTAGTAGGTAATCGTTGCTCCATTGTAATGTTGCTTATTTTAGAAGATTTTTCTTCCACTGAATGAACTCTCAGTGAAAGGACATTGCCCAGTTGATCTAGCTCTTCAACCATTGTCTTGACAAAAGATTCTTCTGTTGAATCTAAAATAAAATAAAGTGCAGTGATCATTTGTAACAAGTCAAAAGGTATTTAGTCACCGAAGTTATGCTTTTTAAAATCAGTTGTACATTTACAGAAAATTGAGATAAAACACTGTATCTGAAATCAACATTTCACAAGACCTGGGACCATCTATTTTTAAAAAAAATATTTATCACTTTTTTTAAAGTGTAATGGGTATTTGGAAGCATAAATGAAATCTGAATTAACATGACCTAAGCATTGGGTAAGAACAGGCCTGAAGTATTTTTTTGTTTTTTTTCCATATATATTTTTTATTGTAAAAATACTGTATAGAGGGGTTAGAGTTACATGAGCAGGGTAATGAGTGCATTTCCTATCGAGCATTGTTACCTCCACCTTTGTTTTTCCCCTACCATCCTTTCCTTCCTCATTTTTTTTTTTTAAATACCAGCTTTCCTATTTTGTGCTTTAGCATTACTCTTTTATCAAAGCATTGAGCCAATGAAAGACGATATGCTTCAGGAAAGAAAGATGTTGGGGATTGAGTTTTCTTTTCTCCAATAATTTGATCACAGCCATTGTATAGAGATATAAAATACAAGTATTAAGAATTGTTATGCCAGGTGTTGGTGGCTCACACCTGTATCCTAGCTACTCAGGAGGCTGAGATCCGAGGATCATGGTTTGAAGCCAGCCAAGGCAGGAAAGCCCATCAGACTCTTATCTCCAATTAACTACTAAAAAAGCTGGACCTGTGGCTCAAGTGGTAAAGTGCCAGCTCTGAGTGAAAAAGCTAAGTAAGAGTGCAAGGCCCTGAGTTTAAGCTCTAGTACAGGCACACACACACACCACACACACACACACACACACACACACACACACACACACACACACACACACAACTGTCATAATATCCTCATATGTCTTCATTCACTAGAGCTAAACTTAGAATAAATTTCATTTGGCTAACAAATAAGTTTTTATTTAATAAAACTGAAATAATTTAAAAGAATTATCTTTAGTAGAAGCTTTTTATACCTTTGTTTTGATTTTCAGAATTTGCAGACTTGCTTTCTTTTGATTTAGGACATGTGGATTCACTTCTTCTGTGAAGAAAAGAGTAAATTACTGTATTTTTTCTTTTAATAGGGAGCTTATAAAAATATGAACTAGAAACAAGAATTTTGGAGTTCTCCTTTCAGTAAGATTTAAATTCATCTATATTTAAGAGACACCAGTATACTTCAAAAGAGATTAAATAACTGTTTATGATTAGAAATTTCCTACAACCAAATATTACTTCATCTAGCAATCTGGTAATTCCAGGTTCTCCTTTTTATTTTTTGTTCATGCTTGAAGTGCCCACTCACTAGGTGGGCTAGGCCTAGAAATACAAGTAGTTTAGTATAATGCTTTCTTAGAAATCAAGCATTGATGTAAAAAGTTACATATAGCAGGAAAGGTGCTGTCAGGTAAAAAAAAAAAAGTATGGTGGCCACGAAGCATATTTTGTACTGAGAAGGGAGCCATCACTGTTGGGTTCTTGGGAAAATAGGTTGTAGAGGGGTCACCCTAGCCTCCGAGGATACAGAGATGTTACCTACTCGTCCGGTGGCCATGGCAAATGTGTTGTTATAGTCCTTGATGGCTGAGTACCTTTCATGCATAAGCTATTGCTAGAGCATATTATGAGCCACTTGTGGCTGAGAACAGTTAAGAAAATGGTTTTGGTATTATCCAAACTTATCAATGAGGAAATTGTGGTTCAAATTTACCCAGTGTGTGAGTCATATCAGAACTATAATTCTAGGGCCCTTTTTTGCTCTTGGCTGACAAATGGTGGTGCCTCTCCAATGACATCTTCGTAATCATCATTGCTCAACTTTGGTAGAGGGTGTGTGTGTGTGGCAACTTTTAAGGTAATAAAATAAGTGATTATATGGGATGTGTTTAAGCTAGGCGCTGGTGGCTTAAACTTGCAATCCTAGATACTCAGGAAGCTGAGATCTGAGTGAGGAATTTCAGTTTGAAGTCAGCCTGAGTAGGAAAGTCTATGAGACTCTAATTTCTAATGAACCACCCAAAAGCCAAAAAGTGGAGCTGTGAGATAAAATGGTAGGGCATTAGCTTTGAGTGAAAAAGCTAAGGAACAGCACCATGGCCTGGAGTTCAAGCACGAGAACCTGAACTCTCTCTCTCTCTCTCTCTCTCTCTCTCTCTCTCACACACACACACACACACACACAATTTGTTTAAATATATATTATAGAAAACACATTCTCTTTTGATTAAACTACTAGGATTAAATATTACATACTTAATTGTCCTTTATATCATTATACACACAAATATTTTACCTACTTAGAACTTTGGTTTTTCAAATCTGTTTTCATTTCACTTGAATTAAATAATGTATACAGCTAAAGATATTTAAGAATATAATCTTTAGCAAATTTCAGGATACAGTATTGGTATAATATTCACAGAAAGACTCGGTCATTGTGAGGTAAATCCCCCCTCACCAAAATCAGTATTTACCTTTCTTCTCCATCTAATAAGTTGCAATATGTTTTGATTTCTTTTTCCAAAAATATTTTGATATCAAGAAGCTGATCATGCTCCAGCTTCTGCCCTTCTGTTTCTGTTCGGATCTGTTGTAGTTGCTCTTCCTTCACACCAATCTGATCCTGGATTTGTTGGAGCTGAACACAGTAATTTCCTTCAATCTCAGCCAAGGAACATTCATAGGACTGTTTCTGAAAGAACAAAGGAAAGCAAGAGAGAATGGCATGTTTGTATTTTAAGCATACCATGGTAGGGCCCAAGCAGTTTCAACTGAAAAATCAAAATTATTAAGATTAAAAAAAATCATCTCCATTGAAAATGTCATTTTTTAAGTTTTGGTGTTGGTGAGTTAGAAGTAGTATTTATGGACAAAATTTTGAATATTTATGACACATTGTATTTTTAGTCATATATAATTACATACACTGTACTTAGTGATCTATTTTAAGCTGCCAGTGGGGCTCACACCTATAGTCCAAGCTACTCAGAAAACTGGTATCTGAGAATCACTGTTCAAAGCTAGCCTGAGTAGACAAATTAGAGACTTTTATCTCCAACTAATCAGCAAAAAGCTGGAAGTAGAACAGCCTTGAGCAGGAAAAGCCAACCCGGAGCTCAAGGTCCTGAATTCAAGCCCTAGTACTGGCAAAAAAATAAGATATATATTATATCTTATATATAATGTAATATGTTTATTTATTTATATATATTTATTTATCTATGCACATATAGTGCTATGGTTTGGATAAAAGTTTGAATGTATCCCCCAAGAGTTGTAGTTTGGAAGCTTGGTCCTAGTATGGTAATGGTAAGAAGTGCTGGGAACTGGGTGCTGGTGGCTTATGCTTGTAATCCTAGCTACTTGGGAGGCTGAGAGGATCATGGTTCAAAGACAGCTGGGGCAGAAAGGTCTGTGAGACTCTTATCTCCAATGTACCACCAGAAAAGCAGAAGTGGCACTGTGGTTCAAAGTGATAGAGCACTAGCTTTGAGCAAAAGAGCTCAGTGACAGTGCCCAGGCCCTGAGTTCAAGCCCCACGAATGACCAAAAAAAAAGTTCTGGGATCTTTAAAAGGAGAAGCTTGGTGGGAAATAATTAAGCCATTGAGGATGCTGCTTTTGGAAGAAATTATTAATAGCTGAAAGGGTTGTTACAAAATAGTGATTTCTTCCCCATCCCCACATATTCTAATGTCCTGTCCTTCCACTTGCTCTCTTCTTCTTCATGTACATCTACCAAGATGTGGTAGTGCCAGGTTGTTTAGATTTTCAGTTTCCAAAAATTTCTAAGTACCTAGCCCCGTGCATTTGTCATAGTGATGGCAAATGGACCTACAGGTATTTGATTGGGTGGCAATGTCTACGTACCATAGCCATGAGGGACTGAAGTTCTATTTCCAAGGTTTGCAGGTTGCGTTTCAGTTCTGTCAGCTCACATCTGGCTGCTGTGAGTGCCCCCGAATCATCTGAGATCTGTTGTCGCAGGGATGCGCTCTGAATCAGAATTGTCAGAAGGGTCAGTGGTTGGTCTCCATTGTCTACTGAACAAGGTTGGCTTGTGTGAGTCCCCATAGTCATACCTTCTCATTAAAGCAGGCCTCGGCATCTTTGCGGTTCTGCTCAGCCAGGTCCTCGTACTCGGCCCTCATATTGTTCAACAGAGCAGTTAGGTCTACTCCCGGGACTGCATTCATCTCCACATTTACGTTCCCTCCAGAGGCACATTGTAGGACTTCCATTTCCTGGAAAGGGGTCAGTGTTAATGCTCAAGGGAGGAGTGGTTGTTTTAAATTGATGTTCACTCCTGCGATGGAAGGTGAGGCAGGAAGCCAGACATTAAGTACAAAGCCAAGGTGTAGGCTGTGCTCTCACCTCCTCATGGTTCTTTTGGAGATAGGTCAGTTCCTCGGTGAGGGCTTCACACTGAATCTCCAAATCAGTTGTACAAAGGGTGAGCTCCTCTAACACTCGGCGAAGACCACTGGTGTCGGCCTCAACGCCCTGGTGCAAAGCCAGCTCATTTTCGTACCTTAAACATCACAAAGTGCTTGAGTATTTCTATCACAGACTGCTGAAGGCAAACTTGTAAAGACATTTCCTGATGGTTCTTACAAGGACAAACTGGTGAAATAATTTGAAAAACCCACTGATTTATGTATAGGTGTCCTTTTGTTAGAGCTGATTTTTGTCATCCAATGTGTTTGACAGTTGAATGCAGTATTGCTAGATTTAAAAAGTTGGTGATAGCTCTTTAGAAAGGTGTGTGAAATTGGATTTCTTTTGTAGAATCGTTTTATTAGCACATTTTTGGGTTTAGAAAGAAAAGATAAGTTCTTTAGCAGCAGTATTTTTATGTCTATGAACATCATAAGTGACTTGATTTGAACCTACTTCATCCTGAAGTCATCAGCGGTCAGTCTTGCGTTGTCATTTTGTAGAATAATTCTGGCATTGCCAGAGGTCGCAGAAATAATCTAAACAGGGTAAGTTGTGAAAAATGTGAAATATGCAAAGTCAAAGGACCCTCCAGATTTCATGACTCCACGACAAGCATCTGTATTAAGTAGCATTTTTCCTATGTTCAATGAACTTTAGATTTCCATCAGATAATAGTTATCCTGAACTTAAATGTCACATGGTCTCTTTCTCTCTCTGTCTCTGTCTCTCTTTCCTTTTTTTTTTTTTTTTAATTTTGTTGGTCGTGGGGCTTGAACTCTGGGCCTGGGTGCTGTCCTGAGCTCTTCATCTCAAGGTACACGCTCTACCACTTGGGCCACAGCACCACTTCCTGTTCTCTGGTGGTTTATTGGTTTATGGACTTTGCTGCTCAGGCTGGCTTTGAACCATGATCCTCAGATCTCAGCCTCCTGAATAGCTAGGATTACAGATGTGAGCCACTGGTGCCCAGCCTTTCTTTTCTTTTCTTTTTTTAATGCCTGTACTGGGGCTTGAACTCAGGACTTCTCATGCTACCTTGGCTATTTTTACTCAAGGCTAGTACTCTACCACTTGAGCCACAACACCACTTTTGGCCTTTTTTTTTTTTTTTTTTTTTTTGCTGGTTAATTAGAGATAAGAGTCTCATGGACTTTTCTGCCTGGCCTGGCTTCAAACCACAATCCTCAGATCTCAGCCTCCTGAGTAGCTGGGATTATAGGCATGAGTTTTCAGTGCCTGGCTCAAGTCTTTTATTTCTTACCTGTTTTTTCAAGTCTTCAATGACTGGGAAATAGCTGCTGTAGTCATGATCAAGTCCCCGGCAACAACCAGGCCCGTATTTCTCATACCAGCCCTTGATCTTCAGCTCCAGCTCTGAGTTGGCCTTCTGCAGGGCATGCACATGGTCCAGGTACAAGGCCAGGCGATCATTGAGGTTCTGCATGGTCATCTTCTCATTCCCAGAGAGGAGGCCAGCCTCATTTCCAAGAAAACCAGTGCCACTTCCTGGTGCCCCATTATGGCTGCAGCTCCCCCCTGAAGAAATGCCTGCAAGAGCACAAGAATAGCTGCTTCCTGCTCCCGACCCAACACACATGCTGCCGGTCACAAAGCTGGTCTCTCCACGAGAAAGCCGGACAGACTCAGCCGGCGAGCACATCCGCCTGGAGCCACCAGGAAGCCGAAAAGACATGACAACAGCCCAGCTAGCGCCCCTTTTCCAGACTGGTACAGAGCCAAGGCCACTTTGTTCAGAGCGCGGCTCCTGTGGCCTTTTATAGTGTCCAGAAGTCCTTGCAATCCACCGGAGCCCACCTGTAATAAAGCACTACTTGCATCCTAATTGTTGTTTTCACCATTGGGTGATTTTTTATAGTGTCCAGTAGGTGACAAGATGCCCCAGGGACATATTTTATATATAAAAAAGGTGCCAGGTAGAGTCAGACTAAATCATAGCTTTAAAGTCCTAGTGGTAATCATAGTTCACAGACCTCAGAAACCATAATTTATTTTTATAAAAATTTCTTTTTTCCTCCCTTCCTTCTTCCCTCCCTCCCTCCCTCTCTCCCTCTCTCTCTCCCTCCCTCCCTTCCTCCCTCTTTTCTCCCTCCCTCCCTCCCTCCCTCCTTTCCTTCCTCCCTTCCTTCCTTCCTTCCTTCCTCCCTTCCTTCCTTCCTCCCTCCCTCCCTTCCTTCCTTCCTTCCCTTCCTTCCTTCCTTCCTTCCTTCCTTCCTTCCTTCCTTCCTTCCTTCCTTCCTTCCCTTCCTTCCTTCCTTCGTTCTCTCCTTCCATCCTTCCATAGTACAGGTTGTCCTTGAACTCAAAGTCCTCCTGTCTCAGCTGTCTAAGTACTGGGAGTACAGACATACATCACCACACCTGGCTTTGTACATCTTTTCTCACCTCAGGAACAGAGTCTAGATTTTCTTCCCATCCAACAAAGGATTAGTTATTCAAGTGAGAAACCTTCATTAAACTTGTGCTACGTATATGTGCAGGTTTCTTCATGATACTCACTTTAACGAGTTTTTTTAAAAACTGAAATCAGACAATATTCAGCAATATTTCAATAGTGGGAGTGTTTTAATTGAGTTTTAAAAATATTGTGAACAAATAGCATTCCTGCTATCGCTTGCTGATCTGTCTCACTACAAGTCATGAATACATGGTCAATGTATATTGAAATTTCTTGATTCTGTAGAACATCAATTGAACTAACTTCGGAATCTCCAAATACTTCACTTCCCTGCCTCAAAGATATGGGTTATTGTTCTTTAGTGTAAGTGGATGTATTTAAAACATTTTGGGTTGTTTTGAGACATAAGTTTGATACTGACCAGTGGGGAGTGAAAGGTCTGGAGAGAGATGTTTCCATCATGACCTGAAAATCCCTAACTGCGATACCTATGTTAGTTGTCATGGGTGAGAAGATGTTTTCTTCTTTTGCCTTGATAACCAGTCTCCTTGTGGCTCACCCCTATGAAGTAAACATCCTCAACCTCAACTAAAGACTCAGATCATCAGTGGCTCCCATAATGAATGACTTATAAGACAGTCTGAAGAGCACATTTTGAAAATATTAATTATTTATATTATTATAATGGAGTGGACATGTTAGACAGGGTCAGAGCTCTATCACTTACAATGGTACTAATTGAATTGGTCAACTAATTACAGGCTTAGTGGTGAAGCAGTAATTTTTTTCCCTGAATGAAATTTTTAATTGTTGTGGGTATCAAATATATTGAGAAATATCTGGACTACTTGTGGATTTGAATGCATGGGTTTTTCTGACCAAGGAATATTAAAAAATAATTAATATGAGAGTAACTCAGACCACCAACTCATGATTGAATAGTGCATAGGAAGAGATTCATCTTGTATTTAGAGACTTACTACTGATTTTGTTGTGACCTGGTCAAAATTTTAATCAGAAAAACAAAATGTATTGTCAGTATGATAGTTTACAAGGGCTGAGATTTTTTTTTTAGATAGGACGTATTATGAGGTTGCAAAGTATTATTAGCATAATCTATTTATCTCCAGATAGTTTATAAATACTAATTAACTTCACATCTTTTGTAAAATAAGTTAAGCATATATTATAAGCACCATTTGGGGGATGAGTTGGCTCCCAGACTAAAGTGGCTGCATAGATCATAGACCGCTCTTCCTCCATCAAAGCAGGCTTGGGACACATGGTACTTACCTCCTTCCCAAAGGTCATTCTCATTGACTCATCATGCAAGACTCCTGAATTCTCTTAATCACAAGCTTCCTCTCCATGACTTACTTTACAAAGTTCAGGTACGCATTAGTTCTTTTTGGAAGTGGAGGATAGATTTAACAAATTTCCCAGGCCACTAGATGTTTATTCTTGGAGAGTGGTTATTCTATTCATGGTATGAAAGCAGTATCTAGCAACTTACTATTCATCTTTTTTTGTGGAGAATCCATTAGGTATTAGAATGTTACAGAATGTGTGTATTAAAGGTCTTCAGAATAATCAAATAGAATGAACCTTGAAGTTAGTAAGTCTCTAAATACAAGATTAATCTCTTCCTATGCACTATTCAATCATGAGTTGGTGGTCTGAGTTACTCTCATATTAATTATTTTTTAATATTCCTTGGTCAGAAAAACCCATGCATTCAAATCCACAAGTAGTCCAGATATTTCTCAATATATTTGATACCCACAACAATTAAAAATTTCATTTCAGGATGAAGTTTTTCATGATGTCATCTTACTCTAATGACTATATGTTAATCCCCCCCCCATACATTTAGGATTTCATTTTTAAAAAACATTGTTGCTTAAAACTCATATTCTACATTTCTGTTAGTCAAGCTTACAAAGAAAATTTTCTAGAACACATGTGAGATTTTCTAATTAGATTGCTATGCATTTTTTTTGAGACAGGGTCTTAGTATGTGACAATGTTTTACTATGTAGCCCAGCCTAAGTTTTAACTCAATATAGACCCTAAGCTGGTTTCGAACTCATGACCTTCCTGTCTCTGCCTCTCAAGTGCTGGAAGTGATTCCTCCTTAGTTTTCATATTTCTTTATCGAATCAGGTTCTGGTATGCCAATTCTTCTTGCCAAATGGCTCTCCTGGTTTGGGAAAGAGACTGGTGACTCTGATAACCTCAGATTGACTAATGGTCGAAGAGTTCTCACCAGAATGGAATGATTATGTTATGGTCAAGTCCACAGACTCAAAGTCAAATTTGCTGGATTCTAAATACCTCCCGTTATGAGCTGTGTGACTCTGGGAAAATAAAAATTCATCTCTGCCTCAGTTTCTTTATCTGTAAAGTGAAAATGATTTAATATCTACCTCAAAGGGTTTTGTGAGAACTAAATAATTTTTGTTTATTTTGCCAGTCCTGGGGCTTGAACTCAGAGCCTGGGCACTGTCCCTAAGCTTCTTTCGCTCAAGACTAGCACTCTACCACTTGAACCACACCACCACTTTTGGCCTTTTCTGTTTATGTGGTACTGAAGAACTGAACTCAGGGCTTCATGCATGTTAGGCAAGCACTCTCTCACTAATCCACATTCCCAGCCCTTAAATAATTTTTAGAACAGCACTTCACATATAGTAAGTGTTGGCTATCTATTGTTATCGATTCTTTCTGGAATCAATAAAAAGTTAGAAAAGTCCTAAATATTATTCACGTATTCTCTCAACTTGGTTCTACTGGCAAGAGTTTATTTCCTGAGTTATAATGAGTTGGTGGTCAGACATCTCAAATATTAAAGAAATCCAAGCCAACCAGTTAAAAATCTTTAAAGAAAATTGAAATGGCTACTTTAAAGCAGTTTTAGATTCACAACAAAAGTAAGAGAAATGTACATGGATTTTCTGCATATTCCCTGCCCATATAAAATGCAGTCTCTCCCCCATTACCAACATCCTCAACTAGGGTGGAACATTTTTTTTTTGTCAGTCCTAGGGCCTGAACTCTGGGCCTGGGCGCTGTCCCTCAGCTCTTCAGCTCAAAGCTAGAGCTCCACCACTTGAGCCACAGCACCACTTCTGGCTTTTTCTGCATATGTGGTGCTGAGGAATCGAACCCAGGTCCTCATGCATGCAAGGCAAGCACTCCAGCACTGAGCCACCTTCCCATCCCAAGTGGTACATTTGTTTCAGTTGATGAATCTACAATGACACATCATATCACTAAACTTCATGATTTGCATTTGTGGTTGTTCTTGGCATTGTACATTCTATGGATTTGGACATTTCTATAATGTCTGTCTACTTATCTTCTGTGCCTGGTAATGGAGATCTATTTTATAGCAAAAGCCTTTTAGATTGGCTTCCTTCACACATTAATACATATTTAACTTTCCTCCATGTCTTTTTATGGCTCCATATCTCATTTCTTTATTTTGTGTTGCGTTTTATCCTATTGTCTAGATCTAGACCATTTCTTTACTCATTAACTCACTGAAAGACATTTTGGTTGCTTCTAAGTTTGTGCCATTAATGAACAGAGTGACTATAAATATACCCATGTAAATTTTTGTATGGTTATAGTTTGTGTGTGTGTGTGTGTGTGTGTGTGTGTGTGTGTGTGTGTGTGGTATGTATGTATGCTGGTCTTGGGGCTTGAGATTTGTTTTTTATTCAAGGCTAGCACTCTTGATCCACAGCTCCGCTCTGGGCTTTTGGTAGTTAATTAGAGATAAGATTCTTATGGACTTCCTTTCTGCTTTGCCTGGTTTCAAACCACGATCCTCAGATCTCAGCTTCTTGAGTAGCTAGGATTACAGGCATGAGCCACCAACATACATTTTAAACTCTTGGATAAAGATGTAAGGATTCAGCAATTACTGGATCGTGTGGTAAGAGTAAGTTTGGTTTGGTAAGCACCTGTTAACTATCCTTCAAAAAAGAAGCTAATACTTTGGACTATGAAGCCATAAGGTGAGCTATTTTCTTCTGATTTTGAATTAATGTATAGGATATGAGGACCAGTTGATTAGATAACTAAGTGAGAAGGTAGGTACGTGCTTTTGGTTCATTTGAGTTGTGTTAAGTGTGTGTAAGGAAGAATGAAGGGAAGAGCTTGAGAGTGATTGCCACTCAGCTGGTATGAACCTGCTCTGTAGAGTTCAGTAATAGATACTGGGTCCTGAGGAAAAGCACGCTGTTTCTGGTGTGAGTTAATGCAGGAACATTTCTTTCCCTCTCAAATAACTCTCTGAAGGAGTTTCTGCTGTGTTTCTATCTCCTCCTGCCTCCATGAGTCTTTAAAACAGGAGTCAGAGAAACAAATTCTTTGATCACACAGACTGAATACAATCTCACAATTCTAACTTCAGAAGTGCGTTGCTGGGTAGCCATGGGTGGAAAAATCTGAACAGCGTTGCTGTAAATCTCTACCCTCATGGCGGAGAGACTAAAATAATGATGTAAGTACTAAAACGATGAATTCTCCATGCCTCATATATCTCTCTTTCTCCTCCCTTTCAAAGGAACATTTTTTTTTTTTTTTAGAATGTTTGCCTAGCATTTTATTTTATTTTTTTTGTCATTCTTTTTTTTTTTTTTATTGTAAAGCTACTATACAGAGGGTTACAGTTACATGAGTGAGGTTATGAGTACACTTCCTCTTGAACATTGTTACCCCCTCCATTGTTTTCCCCCTACCATCCCCTCCCTCCCTCCCTTCCCCGAGGTTCTTTTTTTTTTTTTTTTTTGATTGTGATTAAATGATTACATAATTTCAAAGTCACAAGTTCATTCTAACTTCCCTGGAGCAAATTGTCTACCACAGTCTGTAATATATAACAGTGTTCACATGTTATATACCATATTTGTGATCAGCAGCATGAGGATATTTAGTAGTGGTTCAACCAGATGAGCGGGAGTTCTTTGTTTCTTAAGTCCTGTTAGTTTTGTCGTATCACCTAACCTTTTGGATTTAGCATCCACTTATGAGGGAGACCATGTACCGTTTGTCTCTTCGTTCTTGGCTTACCTCGCTCAACATGATTCCTTCTAGCTCCATCCATTTCCCTGCAAATGCCATTATTTTGTCATTTTCAAAGGAACATTTTATAATGTCTGGGAGCATGGCTCAAGTGGTAGAGCACCTGCCTTGCACGTGTGAGGTTTGCTCCCCAGTGTTGGTAATGTAGAGCATTTTGTGTGTTTGTTTTGTTTTATTCTCATTACTGGCACTTAGTATGTATTTAAGTAAGTTTTAGTGGATGGAAAACAAAATTTTACAGAAATGTGAAAAAGATTCCCCCTACTAGTTTATATATGCTAAACTTACTCCTAACTTGTGAAGATCAGTGAATCAAACCAAGGGAATTAAAGACAAAAATCCAGCTCCCCTTGGAGGGTATATTTAAAATACAAAGATTAACCAGACCCAGGCTCAAGGTGACTTGCAACAGGAAGAACTTTTATTGAAACACCAACCATAAAGAAAAGCGAAAGAAATGTCACTACTCTAAAAAGTGCTTGTCTTCACTCATGGAATAAAAGCAGAAAAGTAAGAAGGCCTTTATTCAGGAAGCTAGTTTCTGCTTGGTATTTTAATTTAGGGGCCGTTCTTTTCAAGTGTGCTGAAGCTTAAGAAGGCACTCTCTGCTCACTCTTGTTGGCTTTGGTGGGTTTCTCCTCCATGGTGTGGACTCTGGACGAGAGAACTTTGCCACGAGGATCTAATTCTTCAACAACTGTTTTAACGATGGTGGGTTTAGATGAGTCTAAAAGAACACGTATGAACTGTTAAAATTTGTTTACTTCCTAAATGGGAAATAACTATTTCAAACATTTACTGAAAAGAAGAAAGAAAGAAAGGAAGGAAGAAAGAAAGAAAGAAAGAAAGAAAGAAAGAAAGAAAGAAAGAAAGAAAGAAAGAAAGGAAGGAAGGAAAGAAGGAAGGAGGAAAGAAAGAAAAAAGAAATAAAAAGAAATGTAGGAAGGAGGAAGGAAAGAGGGAGTGAAGGAAGGAAAGAAGGAAAGAAAAGAGGAAAAAGGAAGGAAGCAAGCACATACAGCTTTTGTTTACCTTTGATCTGATTTCTCGGTCCACCTTGGCCTTTTGATTTAAAACAAGAGCTGTAAAATAGGTTTATCACTAATTATTGCTGTGGATTTTGCTAAAGAAACAAAGAAGCACTGTTTTAAAGTAGGAGCCATTAAATGCTGAACTAGTGCTAAAAAGATTTTATGCGCGCGTGTGTGCGCGCGTGTGTGTGTGTGTGTTTTAAATACACAATCTGGTTCATAGATTGTGTGTTCTTGATTTCAATTAATCTAATAATCTTAGTAGATAAATAGTCTTCTCAGGAAGAAGTGCTTACCTATCATCTCCATCTATCAGGCGGCAGTAGGTCTCAATCTCTTTTTCCAGGTGGGCCTTGATATCCAACAGTTGCTCATGCTCCAGCTTCTGGCCCTCAGTCTCGGTCCTGACCTGGTGCAGCTGCTCCTCCAGGGCCCCGATCTGAGCCTGGATCTGGGCCAGCTGTGTGCAGTAGTTGCCCTCTGTCTCCACTAAGGAGCACTCCAGGGATTGTTTCTAGGGTTTGGTAAGACATCATTTTGTAGCTGTTACCATACTGTTTCAACATTAGCCAAATCACTTTACTTAATGCAAACAATCATATTCATCCAAACCATGCCATTTGTTCAATATCTAAGGAATAAATGTGCCCTGACACTTTGCTGTTTTATTTCTGATGGGGTGACAGCCTTGTCTCATTAGGATGGCAGATCTTCTCTGAAAAAAGAAACATCCTATAATGAATTGTATAAATTTTGTATAAGTAGAATAAATAAAAGCTTTATGGTACAATTCTTTGGCTTGTAAGCTCACGTGAGTTTATATGGATCCACAGAAGGAACTAATTTTACATGAAATAGATGTCAAAATATATTTTACAGAAACCCCAGTTTTAAATGCATTCACAGCTCCTTCTGGGCTTAACGTATTGAAGTTTTCTAGCCATGGTGGGCAGGTATAGTCTTGGAGGTTGACAATTGGTTCTTGTCTCTTCTTTTGGTATGAGATGTACAGGTTCCCTGCCTATGCCTCAGGGATATTGTGGTCTAAGGTGGGTGAAACCACTGAGCAAACCCTTAATGAAAAAGGTTATTATTATCATTAAGCATGCTTAACTTTTAGAGTCAACCCTTACACCTCTGCTTTGTTTCTTATTAATCGTCACTTAAAAGGAACTTATGTGCTCTTGGTTAACTGGCCAAAAGGAATTCTAGATGAGGGAAGGTTGGAACACATTTTTGCTTTTCATAGATAGTGATTTTTGCTCCTTTTGAGTGGGAAGAGAAGATTCAGGGTAGACTTTCTTTTCTCTTTTTCTCTCTTCTTTTTCTTATTTTCTCTTTTTGCTTCTCCTTTTCCTTCCTTCCCTTTCTCTGTTTTTTTCTTTTTGTGCTGGTATGGAATGGTCTTTCTTGCCCATAGCTGATGTTCTACCACTTGAACCCTGCCTCTAGTCCAGAATTTTGCTGGTTAGTTGAAGATAGGGTCTCATAGACTTTTCTTCCCAGGTTGGCTCTGTAGCACAATCTCGGATCTCAGCCTCTTGAGGATCTAAGATTAATGCCTAGCTTTCTTTTCCTTCCTTGAGTCCTTCAAAAATAATTATATGTGCCAAATCACAATTATTAGCATCTAAGCATAATAGGCAGAGAGAAGTATCATAGGCAAAATGCAAATGTGTCTTATGTCAACCTCCTAATTAGTGGATAAAAATCCTCGAATGAGTAATACTCTCTGGAAGAAAATATCCCTTTCATTTTCCCCCCACCGTCGAAAGCAAATCTGTACTTACAACCTTGTACTTAGTACTCACCGTGGCTAACAGGGATTGGAGCTCGATCTCCAGGGTTTGCATGGTGCGCTTCATCTCGGTCAGCTCGTTCCGGGCAGAGGTGGTGGCTCCGGCGTCGTTGGAGATCTGCTGCTGCAGCGAGGCGCTCTGAAAAGAGGAAAGTCAGGGAGCACAGGTTAGGGCCCTGAGCATCCTCAGAGCGCACGGGGAGGCTGGTGACAGGCCGGCAGGCACCTTTTCGTTGAACCAGGCCTCGGCATCCCTGCGGTTCTGCTCGGCCAGGGCCTCGTACTCGGCCCGCATGTTGTTGAGCAGCACGGTGAGGTCCACCCCGGGCGCCGCGTTCATCTCCACGTTCACGTTGCCTCCCGCCGCGCACTGCAGCGCCTTCATCTCCTGGAACAGATGGTATTTAACCACATGAGGATCTTGACTATTTGTTGTTGTTGTTGTTTGCCAAGCCTGGGACTTGAACTCGGGGCCTGCACATTGTCTCTGAGCTTCTTTTACGCAAGGCTAGCCCTTTACCACTTGAGCCACTGTGCCACTTTTGGCCTTTTCTGTGTATGTGGTCCTGAGGAATTGAACCCAGGGCTTCATGCATGCTAGGCAAACACTCTATCACTCAGCTACATTCCCAGCCAATCTTGATTATTTTTAAAAGAGTCAAGAGGAGACAAGATCCCTAGAGTTTGAAGCCATTACGGAAAAGGGACAAAATAAAAACATTTCAGGCATGGGGAGCAACGGATAAGCTCTTTTTGATGATTTAAGATGTGACTCTGGTCACCTGATTTGTTATTTTGGTAGGGGGTCATGTGAAAACTGGTGAGGAAGAACGTTTTACCTCCTCATGGTTCTTCTTGAGGTAGGCCAGCTCCTCAGTGAGTGTTTCCAGCTGGACCTCCAGGTCGGTTCTGCACAAGGTCAGCTCATCGAGAACTCTGCGCAAGCCATTGATGTCTGCCTCCACGCTCTGGTGAAGGGCCAGCTCATTTTCAAACCTGAGAAATGTTGGAAAGCCATCCTTTGTCAGTAATTCACATTCACAATCAAACTCAAACTAAGCTTTGAGGTCAAACTGTTCAAGTCATACATAAGGCTCATTTAGATCACCTAGCATGCAATAAATACATTTCTTTGAAGCAAGTGACTGGGAATATTAAAAAAAAAAACTCTTCCCTATGACCTCGAGATTCCAGGTCATTTGTGAGGGCACCCCCAAGTAGTCATTCTAACCTACATGTGATTTCAAATGGAGAAACAGATCAACAAAAAGAAAGAATAAGGCCAAGTTCTAAATAAAAGAAGGGAAACTGGGTTCTGGTGGCTCACACCTGTAATCCTAGCTACTCTAGAGTCTAACATCTAAGAATCGTGGTTTGAAGCCACCCGGGACAGGAAAGTCCTTGAGTCTCTTATCTTCAATTAACCACCAAAAAAACTAGAAGTAGAGTCATGTGGCTCAAGTGGTAGCATCCCAGCCTTGAGTGAAAAAGGGAATGGACAGAGTTCAGATCCTGAGCTCAATCTCCACTACTGGCACACACAAAAATAATAATATAAAGAAAAGGGTGCTTAATTCTTTTGTTTCTCTTTCTCTTCAGTTCTACTCACTTGAGTCTAAAGTCATCAGCTGTCAGTCTTGCATTATCATTTTGCAGGACGATATTGGCGTTACTTGTAGTTGCAGTAATTATCTGGAAAAAAGGGAGAGTTAAGAGTGAGACAATTCTTTAGAAGTTCACTTTTTCTTGACATAAAGTTACCTATTCATTTATAGCAGTATTTCTGGCACCTAAAAATATGAAGATGAGAAATGGAAGCATAGTCTGTTTTAATTTCCTACTAACCCGTCACAGAAACCTTTTACTTTTCCTTATGAAAAGCTTATAAAAATGCAATTGAAGTCACAGCAGTTTTAAGATATTTTAATACTACTGAAAACATGCATGTGTACCCCATGTCAGTAACAAGTGGGCTACAGACAAAGCTTAGAATTTACACTGACAATAAACTACCACATATTTGGAAGTGGATCCCAAAGCCCTGTGGTGCCAATGTACCCATTTGCACATACATGGTGCCAAGTACTGTCACCAGGCTTGACATGACAATGTGCTGCTTACCTGGTTTCTAAGATCATCAATGATTGGAAAGTATCTGCTGTAGTCATGGTCAAGACCACGGCAAGAACCAGGTCCAAATTTCTCATACCAGTCCTTGATCTTCTGCTCTAAGTCAGCATTGGCCTCCTCTAATGCTTGGACATTCTCCAGGTAGGAGGCCAGGCGATCATTGAGGTTCTGCATGGTCACCTTCTCATTGCCTGACAGTAGGCCATGTTCATTACTAGTGAAGGTAGAACACGGAACACTTCCACTGCCCAGCCCTCCACTGTAGCTTCCAGCTGATGAGCTGCCCCCAAAGGCACATGAGAAGCCATTTCCGATGCCTGGCACACCACATGTGTTTCCGGCCCCCAGCCCTGACCCTCCACTTGAGAGGCGCACAGAGCCCATTCGTCGGGATGCTGAAGAGAAGCGCACAGACATGTTGTCCAAGCTGGAAGTGATGCTCAGGTAGCGAGTGCCCTACTCAGTTGAGTTTGCTTTATATACACATTATTAGGGTGTTTCGTGGTGAACTCTTGCTACTCATAGCAAAATAGGGCTTGCCAGCTCATTGTGAATTATCCATAATTGGGTGATTTTTTTTCCCCTTTAATGAGTGTCTTCATCCTCTTGTGTCCACTTCTGTAGGTGGATGGTTCCCTTGGGGTTATTTATTATCTCTGGTGTGGGGCAGGGTGGAGTATTATCAAGGTTATTATAGGGATGCTTTGCAAATTTGCTATGAGTAACCCTTCCTGTCTTCTAGGCTTTGAGAATGTGAGATTTCTGTAAGAAATTTTTAAAATGTGTGATAGACCAGTTTCTCTTTCCTTTGCCCAAGTCAGTAAACATTGCATTTCTTCAGCTAGTGAAATACCACGCGTATAGTTTTTTTCTTATATATCAAACATGTTGAAAATAACTTTCCAGACTATGATTCCAGAGGAAGAAAATCAGGTCATACATGAAAATGGAAGGAATAAATCTTATCTTCTTTGGAGACTTGAAAGTCTTCCCTTGATCTTTATCCTTCCTGAATGATCACTGACTCTGTCTTGGGTTTTTGTCTAAGCTAGGTTGCTAATCAGGTTATATAAGGGAATTGGTTTCACCTCTCTGGGCCTCAGTTTCCTCAACTGCCATTGAAGAATCTAGATTAGGACTCCTGTGTTCATTCTTCCACATTGGCTCTGCTACTTCAGAAATATGATGATTGGAGTCACTTATCACTGTATATCTGCCTTAATCTTGTTTCTTACATTTAATTTACAGTCTTGGTTGTGTTAGGTACCCATCACTTCAGTTTGACAGTTTCAGGAGTTGCTGTCCGAGAATGCTTCAGCTCTGGCTGTTCCCCTTTTCTCTCCCATTCGTTCCCCCTACACCCTACGTTTTGTTATTCCTTACAGTTTGGGGCTTGGCATGGGATTCTCTTCTTGATTCAGCCCTTGCCTTGTTGACTTACTATTCTCTTTTCCTATGCCTTTCCCCCATTTTTCCTTGCTGTCCTTCCCCCCTATTATTTTTTTTCCTTAAAATTAAGAATAGTGATTTTTAAAATTTGATATGGTAAGTGGAGGAAGTGAATTTATTTCAAGTACTCTGTATACATGAACCCTTGTAATCCAGAAGTATGTTAATTACAAAAAAAAAATTCAATCCTACCATTACCATTGGCATTTTGTAATGACATTTTCATGACCTTACTGTCCTGTGGACTTACAATTTGAGTTTAAACCTCCTCAGATTGAGAAACCCCAACCCAATAAGTTCATTTGGAATGGTTTTCCGGTTGGTCATTGTCCATTGTACCCAAGAGAGATGACCTTTCTTGGCACCATGGGTCTCTCAAAGTTGTTTCAAAAACATTGAATTAACTAAAATCAGGAGGAAAGCTTGCCTTCTCAGCCTCTCTTTTACATCCGTCTTCCTTTGCTCTTGAGTTCTCTTTCCTGAAAATCATCTTGGGTTCCAGGGAGGAACAGGACTGACCAGTAGATAACATCTTCAGGATGAGGAGCTGAAACTACACCCAGGAAAAGGAAAGGTGGAGCCTGACAGGACAGACCATCCCTCCAATGAGGACAATTACCTGCCATGATAAAGCTGCAGTGTGGCACAGTAGTAATCATCTCCTGGGAACCAGTGTACTCCCCTTGAGTGATGTCAGTGATAACTTAGCCAGAACCCTTCCCAGAACCATATCAGAGATAACCATCAACCAGGCTATATTTTGCCTTGGACTATTTAATTATGACGGCCTCTCTGCACCTCTCCTAGTTCTTCTATTTAAACCCAAAGATCATGTGTCTACTGCAGAGATAGGCTCAAGTGCACATTTGATCTCCCTTTGTGGTGTGCTCACATCGTCCTCTGCCCTTCATGGTTCCTCATCTCTTTATTTGGCAAGTGTGTGTGTGTGTGTGTGTGTGTGTGTGTGTGTGTGTGTGTGTGTGTGTGAATGATCAGACCTGACATCATGGAACATCTGAGATTGTCTCTGTGGTCCAGTCAGAAGGAAATGAAGTCACTTTGGCACTACAAAGTCTCAAACATGACCAGATCATGGCTTTCTTCCAGAAGTGTAGCCCCCAATGAGGAGAATCTGAGTGAGGGCACCAGTTGGTCAGGACAGGATCAGGGAGAGGGAGGAAAAAGGTCGTATGTTTGGAAGAACCCTATACTTGGTTTGCTCTTCCCTGTTGCCACCATAAATATTTTTGTTGATTGTATCTTTGGACATCGGTCTTATAAGAGACTTTTATTGGGATCCTGGAGTGTGTAAGGGAACAGAGGAATATGCGAGATGTTTGTCTGTAGTTGGTTCCACATTACCTCTGAGATACAGAATATAGACAAAGCCCATGTGCACTGCATTCTGGCAGCCCTGTGAGGCAGAGGGTCACCCCAAGTACAAAGTTGGTGTATTGTGACTATCACTAAGCCAGGCTTCTGTTCTGACAACCCCAACAAGCCAGGCTTTCCATGCAAACTAGAACTTACTTCAAATGTAGAAGGAAGGTACTGGTGTTTCAATAAACATGAATAACCAAGGTGCCCTATCACATGCGGACTTTCTTGTATTAGTCATGTACTTATGCTAATACTATTACTATTATTGCTTTCCTATAGAAAGATAGAGTAACCTCATAGTTCTTTTCCTTTGAGCCATTTCTTACTCATCAGTAAGCCGAAGGTAGGGAGGGCTGGTAGGATATGCACATGTGAAGTGAAATAAAAGCAACTGAGTTTGTTGTATGCTGTGTTCCTCTTATTTGGTAAGAATAAAATACCCATGCTTGTGTGAACTACAAAATATGGATTGTGTAATTCTGGTGTTGAATATCTAGGTTAAATGTTCTTATGTTTGAATTTAAAACTGGCATTGAGCAACATATAAAAATGTGTGGTACAAAGCATGTAACAACTTAAAATTTTATTTTTTTCCCTTACTGAGAATGACATAACAACGAAAACCCCCAAACAAACCATAAAACCTAAAATGAAAAGCAAAACCAAACCAACTTCAAAACTCCCAAAACAAAAACAGCCAAAATGCAGGACAAATTGAGAATGTGACTGGAGAAGAGGGAAAAAAGCATAGTATTTTTGTGCCTTTAATAGCATATTTCTTTTTGTTTTTGAAAAGGGGACCTCACACTTTCATTTTCCACTAAATCCCAATTACACTAAGCTAATTAAGTAGCTGGTCCCATGCATTGTAGATTTGGGAGTCATTTCCCCAGGAATTTCTAATGTGTGCTTTATTGGGTGCATTTTGACTTTTTGCTAATATTACTGTTAATATTTCTTTGAGTCCCTATCTGATTATGTAGTTGTTGGGCAGAATTCCTGCTCTCCCTGGAGCTTTTCATTAGAATCAGGCCGTGTATTTGAGAAATAAAAGAGCTGCTTTCATTTTCTCTTCTACTATCCTAAAGTGGAAGGTTAAAATAACCATAATGCTTCTCAATCTTGCGAAGTTTTTGGCCTCATGAACAGATGCTGGTGGCTTGAATTTGGTTGGCCATGTGTTTTCAGATAGCTCCCAGATGAAGATTTTTTTTTTTCTTTTTTCGTTTGTTGGTTGTGGGGCCTGAACTCTGGGCCTGGGTGCTATCCCTCAGCTCTTCAGCTCAAGGTTAGCACTCTACCACTTGAGCTGCAGTGCCACTTCCGGCTTTTTCTGCTTATGTGATGCTGAGGAATCAAACCCAGGGCTTCATGTATGCAAGGTAAGCACTCTGCCACTAAACCACCTTCCCAGCCTGAAGATTTTTCTTTTTGATGGTTGAAAAAATTTAAAAAGAATGATACTTCATGATACATGGAATTGGTTTAAATTCAAATTTTGGTGTCCCTAAATAAAGTTTTGTTGGAACACTACTGCGCTCATTTGGCTGTTGTTTATGACCGTTTTCTGTTATAATCACTAATCTGAGCAGTTGAAATAGACATTGAGGCCTGAAAAGCCTAAATGTTTGCTCTCTGAACCTTCATAGAAAAAGCATCAAAATTCTTCTCTAGGAAAACAAGAAACTCATTAACATGAGGCTCATGTCTGTGGATCTTTCCAGAGATTTTCCTTTAAGTAAGAAACAGTTCCCTGGAAGTATCTAGATTCCCAGCAGGGTTCAAGATAGGCTTTGGTAAAACATTAAACATGTGCCATCTAGTGTTGGGGTTTCTCAGTTGCAGGAGAATTTCTGAACTTTCCTAGATTATTTGCCTGTTTATAGACGTGGTGGGATGTAAAGACAATGCCTAGAGTTTAATGTTTAAATGCCATGCACTAGTATTAACTATTACTTAAAACTGGACTGAAAGCTGGGTGGTGGTGGCTCATGCCTGTAAGCCTAGAAACTCAGGAGGCTGAGATCTGAAAATCAAGGTTTGAAGCTAGCCAGCGAAGGAAAATCTGTGACATTCTCATCTCCACTTATCCACCAAAAAGCCCAAAGTGGAGCTGTGGCTCAAGTACTAGAGTGCTAGCCGTCAGCAAAAAAGCTCAGGGGAGTGCCCACACCCCAAGTTCAAGCCTCAGTACTAGCACCAAGACAAAAACAAAAACAAAAAAATAAAACAAAAAAACTCCTTTAGATTGAAATTCATTTATCAGATTCCATGAGTGTCTTCCTAAGAAACAATACCATAACAAATATTTGTAAGCCATCAGTGAATGGAAATGGGTGCATATCAACTTTTTATTTGAAAACAATATATAATATCTGAGAAAGCAGGTATTTGAGCTAAGAATCTTTTCTTGAAGAGTAGAAAGTGTTTTTATTTGTTCTTAGAGGAATGCAGTTGGGCCGAATCTTTCCCGAGTTATTCCTTCCCCTAAATGGACAGCTAGAAGGGTGTTTTCTTTTCTGTCTTGCCATTTGTCATTTTAGATGTCTTTTCCTCGATAGATTGGATCCTTGATGACAGAACTTTACCACGTTGATCTATCTCTTCCACCACGGTCTTTACCAGTGTGGTTTTGGGCGAATCTAGAAATAAAATACATAGGAATCCATATATTCAGCCTAAAAGATTATGTGACAAAGAATTCTGCTGTTGGCTGTAATATATTATACCTATCATTGTCTGGGGAGCCAGGTTAGATTAATAATAACAGTATGGCACTGCTGGATAAAATTTAAAATTTAGTCAGAACTCTTTAGTTAGAATCAGTTATGGGGTGTGGCTATATCATAGCAAGGCCATTAATGTAAAAGCATTTGCTGCAATAGAAATAGAATGGGATTTGATTACCTTTAGGTGGATTCCCTGAGCTATCGGAACCAAAGCCTTTCGATTTGGAGCACGAACTGTAAGAAATAAAAAAGGGTTTTTTTTTGTATTTATGTTTATTATTATTATGAGTGCAAGAGAACATTAGTTTACTATGGTAGAAAAGACTAAGGTTTTCAAATGCAGGAGCTTGAAGTAATAAAATGTTATCTAAAGAGAAAATAATGGACCATAGGCTAGCCTGAGCAAAAGCATGAGACCCTCTCTGGAAAATAAGTGGACACCAATAAAGACTGAGTGTGACTCAGGTATCAGAGTGCTAGTGATCACAGGTCCTGGGTAAAGACTTTCAATACTGCAAAGAGAGAGGGGGAGGGGGGAGAGGAGAGAGAGAGTGACAGACAGACAGACAGACAGACTCAGAGACAGATGGACACAGAGACAAAAAGAGACAGAGAGACAGGGGATATTAAAAGAACCCCCCTTTCCATTTGATTTTAAAATTCAAGAGTTTAATATATAGTAATTTATGGATGTAACTAAAGGTACATATATTATCTTAAGGTACATTTATACATACATAAAACAACAAAGTATTTTTTTACCTCCTAGGATCCATCTCTCTCTCTATATGTATATAAAGATGGATATATATATATAGATGGATATAGATAGATAGATGGATAGATAGATAGACAGATATGGATCCTGAGTGTTTCTATGGAGTACGTTTATTTCAGAGCAGAAGTAATATGAGGAATGAACTGGAAGCAGGAGAATGCTTACAGACAGGGCTTCAGAAGGTGGTTGAAATCTGCAATGATTGATTGAGCAATAACCAGGAACTTGCACCATAAGGATTGGCATCATCTAAGACTCTGTGATGTACAAAATGAAGAAGAGGTGACTGCATAGGCAAGAGGCAGACATGCTTTAGTGTAGTGGGAAAACAAAAAGTGTTAGCAGTCTGGAAAGATTAGATGCAGGGTAGAGCTGAGGCTCAGGACGTCCATGTGGTCTCACTCACTTTCCATCTCCATCTATCAGGCGGCAGTAGGTCTCAATCTCCTTTTCCAGGTGGGCCTTGATATCCAGCAGTTGCTCATGCTCCAGCTTCTGGCCCTCAGTCTCGGTCCTGACCTGGTGCAGCTGCTCCTCCAGGGCCCCGATCTGAGCCTGGATCTGGGCCAGCTGTGTGCAGTAGTTACCCTCTGTCTCCACTAAGGAGCACTCCAGGGATTGTTTCTGAGGACAGCAAAGATCAATAGCAAGGGATGAAATCACTCTGAGGACTAGGTGAGCATGGTACTTTTCTACAGCGTGCAGGACTGATCCCTGTGAGATCTGGAAATGTCTGCGACTCATCACACTACAAGGTGAAGGCTGGCATTGTCTGGGAGGGGCCAGGCATGCTGAGAGACAGAGACATGGGACAAATATGATCCTTTGCCCACAGGATTTTTCACTGTCCCACTAGACACTCCTAGTGTTTGGTGTGTATATCTATCTATATTTATATCTATCTCTCTCTATATCTCCTATCAGGACCAACGTACATGTGGAAACATTTTTTGTGGGGAGGTGGGGAGAGGTAGCACACTAAGAAATCAATATTGGAAAACTCATATTTTGAAATGGCACTGTTTATTTTGGGGTTGTCTGTTATAGTTCAGTTTCACTGCATTACTTACTCCCCATGCCTGCCATTACGAGGCCCATTGTGTTCTTGTGTTCTTCTGTTCTTATCTGTGTTGTGTTCTTGTCTTGTTTCTATCCTTTCCTGCCATTCATCCCAGACTGCTTATTGAGTTGAATGAATTTAGTATTGAATGAGTTAAATAAATACTTTCATAGGGTGGGTTTTCAATACTTAAGACCTATCTCCTAACACAGTGCAGGTCAATATATATATGGATATATTACATATGTATTTATATTTTATATGTATAAATGATTCCTCTCTTCTCCTTTCATAGCCTGTAATTTTTCTTGCCAGGTGAGGCTGTATTCCAATTACAGTAATGTGTCTCTGGTTTCCTCATCATATATAAATATGTCTAGGTAGTTATTACCTCTCCTGAACATTAGTTATTATCAGAATGTCCAACCCTTCTTCTGCTCTTTCCTTTCCCTTTTCTTCTGTGCAGCAATGCCTGATCTTAGATCACAAAAAATAAAATATTTATGAAAAGAAGATGCAAATTTGAACAACGGTGGCTCATGCCCGTAATCCTAGATACTCAGGAGGCTAATATCTAAGGATTGTGGTTCAAAGCCAGCTGGGATGGGAAAGTCCACGAAACACTTATCTCCAATTAATCAGAAAAAAGCTGAAAATGGAGGTGTGACTGAAGTGGTAGAGCATCAGTCTTGAACAGTTATAAAAGCCAAGCAAGGGGCTGGGAAGGCTCAATGGAGTGCTTGCCTTGCATGTATGAGGTCCTGGTTTCAATTCCTCACCACCACATAAGCAGAAAAAGCCGGAAGTGGTGCTGTGGTTCAAGTGGTAGAGCACTAGCCTTGAGCTGAAGAGCTCAGGGACAGTACCCAGGCCCAGAGTTCAGGCCCCACAATGGACCAAAAAATGCCAAGCAAGAAAGTGAGATTCTGAGTAAAAGCCCCAGTACCAGCACCCTTCCCCCCACCCCACCCCCCCAAAAAAGGGAAGCTTCAGGGATCATCTGACCTATTCTGGTAGGTGGTTGGACCCAAATGTTTCCATTATATATCCATTTTATTTCAAAACACTTTCCTGTTATTTCCTTCTCCCCTCCCTTATTGCAGTTATGGGCATTATGCTGATATCAGATCATATATTGCTCAATATGTATTGATTTCATTCTAGCCTTGCAAAGAGGGAGTTATAAAATAGTCATGCTAGCAGGCAGACAGGGGTCTAATGGGGCTGAGAAGTTTAGACTACAGACAGGCTGCTGAGCGCCTGGGAGATGGGGGGTGCTGGGCTTTCCAGGGGCATTTGAATGGAAGGCGACCAGGGTAGTACTGGGGAAGATGAGACATCCCATAGCAATAAGCAAGTAAAGGATGGGCCTAATAGTCAAAGCCTTTCATTTCTCCGATGACATGTCTTCCTGGGGAAGATAGATAACTCTCTTGGAACTCCGAGGAGACAGCATCGTATCTCCAAGCCTTTCATGGTAAAGACTGGCTTATCAATGAGGCAGGACCAGGGTGAACTAGAATTTTGCCTAATACAGGGAGCAAGTGTTTGAACATTTAGATATTTAGACAGTTCCCAACTTACAACTGATTTGTGCTTTAGTTAGGGGAAATGGAATTTGGAATTTTTCTTAAGGCAAAATGAGATTCAACACTACCATTATTCTCTAATTCAATTATATTGGGTCTTCTATAGATCATTTTTCAGGGATATGTGTATTATTTCATGACCTCAAATTATAATATGACAAGCTGCACAGAGTCCAACTACTTCATGATATAATTGCACCTATGTGCAAATGTTTACAATTGTAATCTGGGAGCGTGGAAATTTATTTCCTTCACTATTTTTCCACAAATAATAGGAGAATTCACTCTCAGGGCTCCTGTAGCACAAACAGCTCCTCTCTATAAGGCTGTAGAGTCAGGGAAGAATGGGGTGGTGGGGGTGGGTGAGGAGGGTTTTCAGAGCCCAAATAGAGAGGGCTCAGAGAACCAGGTAGCAGCAGGGATGCCGGGGGGGGGGGGTACAGAAGAGAGACAGGCTGGTTAAGATGTACACACTGTCCGTGGGTAAAACCAGTCTCTATGGAAACATTTTATGGTAACAGAACATTGTATTTTTTTTTTTTGAAGGCTAAATCAAAAGTCTCTTCCTAGCTGGGTGCTGGTGGCTCACACCTGTAATCCTAGCTAATCAGGATTCTGAGATCTAAGGATTATAGTTTGAAGGCAGCCTGGGCAGATAAAGCTGAGAAAATTTATTTCCAGTGAACAAGAAAAGAAGCTGGCAGTGGAGATGTGGCTCAAGTGGTATAACACCAGCCTTGAGCAAAATAAATAAATAAAAATCGAGACAAGGCCCTGAGTTTAAGCCTCTCCCCCTTTGCTCCTGTCTCCCCTCCCCCCCCCCAACTCTCTTTCACACACATTGTCTCTCCCTCTTGTTTCTCTTGGTTTGGGTCATGTTTTCCTTCATGGCTCACTGCACTCATTGGTAGAGTAGCTGGAGCCCCCCAGGGAACATAGGCCCTCTTGTAAAGATGAGGAAATCCTGGGCCCTGTGTGTGTTGTAATTCTCAAAAATCAAGCCTTTGGGAATCTTTCAGTTCACAGACCAAAAGGGGCTGTCTCCATAGCAACCTCTGAACTCATCCAGGTATGTACTATGTGCAAGCCCTGCTGTGTGGATGTGTGCTCTGGGTTGGGACCCCTTTCCAGGACACTGGGGATGGAGGATGCTGGGTGTGTGTCTCCGTTTCTTCTGCCTGCTGAAAAGCACAATGTGGCTTTATATATTGAGTATGGAACCCAGGGCCACAAGCATATGCAGCAAATGCTATATCATGTGACCCACGGCTCTTTTGTTTGTATTTTTGTTTTGAGATAGGGACTTCCTTGCTACTTTTGCCCCCGTCTGGCTTTGGATTCTCTCTCTATCCTCCTGCATCCACCTCCCAGGTAGCTGGAATGACAGCCATGAACTACAGCACCAGGTTCACAATGTAGCTTTTAGAATGTGTTTCTCACTATTAGGAGATTTTGATGTGATCTAATTTTCCTGTGAGTGGCCAAATGACCATCCGTCAGTCAGTCACTTAATTTTCAGGTGGAATGAAGGATGCTGCTGTTGCTTGCTCTGTGGGTTGAGATGCAAGACCAAAAGTTGACCTCTGAGCTCAGTGATGTCAGAGAATCAAGCAGGAAGACAATACTCTGATCTCCTTCCCTGTCTCCTGTGTGTGACGTTATTAAAAGGAAGGAAAAGGGCTTCTTCTAAGTTTATTTATTATTTAATCATAAAATTGCCTGTGCATCCTTGCTGCTCAAGAGACTGAGCTCTGAGGATCATGGTTCAAAGCCAGCCTGGGCAAGAATAGTCTGTGAGAGTCTTTTATCTCCAGTTAACTACCCCAAAGCCAGAAATGGAGGCGTGGCTCAAGAGCCAGCCTTGAGCAAAATGAACAAACGAACGAATAAATAAATAAATACAAAGGAAAAAAAAGGTTGAGATTCCCCCCCCCCCCAACACACACAACAAACCCCACCTGCAAACTAGCAATCCCAGGCTGGCCCCGCACCGCCACCTACCGTCGCCAGGAGGGACTGCAGCTCGATCTCCAGCGTCTGCATCGTGCGCTTCATCTCGGTCAGCTGCGCCCTGGCGGAGCTGGCGGCGCCCGCGTCGTCGAAGATCTGCTGCTGCAGCGTGGCACTCTGGAGGGCGAGTGGGGCGCAGAGGGTCACCCCGGGCCTGCCCTCCGTGCCGGGGCGACGGGGTCGGGAGGGCGGGGAAGGGGACAGGGAGAGCACCGAGGGCCCGCCCACCTCACCTTCTCCTGGAACCAGGCCTCGGCCTCCCTGCGGTTCTGCTCGGCCAGGGCCTCGTACTCGGCCCGCATGTTGTTGAGCAGCACGGTGAGGTCCACCCCGGGCGCCGCGTTCATCTCCACGTTCACGTTGCCTCCCGCCGCGCACTGCAGCGCCTTCATCTCCTGGAACAGATGGTATTTAACCACATGAGGACCTTGACTATTTCATCTGCTGTAGGGAAACGCCAGCGGGGGCCCCACCAGGGTCTGAGTCATCGCAGGCCCCAAGGTTTGCAATCAAGTGTGCATACTTCATGACCCCCGTTTTAAAAACAATTGTGATTATAGAAAGGTGACACACAGAGGGATTGCAGCGACCTAAGTCAGGTAATGAGTACATTTCGTTTTGGACAGTGTCACCCCTCTCTCCTTCCTCTCTTCCAGATTTTCCTTCCCTGTGACCCCATTTAAACAAAAAATAGTTCAATTAATGTTTTTAAAAGTTGAGGTTAGAACAGTTAACATGAGGGCCTCCCGTCAGCAAAATTTTATGTGCACCACATAATACTGTGGACTGTAAACACAATGTTGCACCGTATCAAGTGTCTTACACTTTTGAATTTTCACACCCACTTGATAGCAACACCTTCTTTGGCTAAGTGTAATCACATTAGTGAAACACATGTTGTGAAATGATTTAAAAAAAAACAACAAACCAGCTCTCACCTGTAATCTTAACTACTCAGGGGGCTGAGATCTAAGGATCACAGTTCAAAGTCAGCTTGGGGAGAAAAGTCTGTGAGACTCTAATGTCCAGTTAACCATCAAAATGCTGGAAGTGGTTGGGCTGGGAAGGTGGCTCAGTGGTAGAGCGCTTGCCTTGCATGCATGAGGCCCTGGGTTCGATTCCTCAGCACCACATAAGCAAAAAGAAAAAAAGCCAGAAGTGGCGCTGTGGCTCAAGTGGTAGAGCACTAGCCTTGAGCTGAAGAGCTGAGGACAGCGCCCAGGCCCAGAGTTCAGGCCCTACGACCAGACCCCCCCCCCCCAAAAATGCTGAAAGTGGAAATGTGGCTCAAGTGGTAATGCTAGCTTCCAGCAACAAATAAAGTCAGTAACAGCATCCAGGCTCTGAGTTCAAGCCCTAGTACCAGCATGTGTGCATGCATACAAACACACACAGTTAGCTCATTTGATCCATACTCATGTCAATCATCAGTTTAATCAATTATTTGCTCATGAAAACAGACCCACCACCTCTATGAAAATTAGTCACAGAATTCCCAAGAGAAAGTCTTTCTTTTCCCTGAGAAGAGATTACAAAGATCAGAGTTATGTCAGCATCTAATTATGGACTAGGTAGTTGTCAGACAGATGGGGATCTATGCCCAATGGAAAAGCCAAATAAGAATCTCATCCCTTCTGGAATCTTCATCTTAGTGACACCAGTTATTGTTTATGAAGTGATTATTATATGCCAGACACCATTCTTAGCATTTGATATGATCCATTTTGAAGACATGTAACATCATGAGGTAGATACTATTATGAAAGTTATTTTACAGATTAGGAAACTGAGGCACAGAGAGGTGGGGTAAGTTCCCATGCTGGGATTTGAACAGAATGGGATTCGAACAAGTTACTCAGGCTCGTGAGGGTCTTTTCCTGACTCCAGGGTCTGTCCCAAGTCATACCATTAAGTCAGTAGATGGATTTATGAATATCTTTGGGTTAGTGACTTTTTTTTTTGGTCAATCATGAGGCTTGAACTCAGGGCTTGGGTGCTATCCCTTAGCTCTTTGGTTCAAGGCTAGTACTCTACCATTTTGAGCCACAGTGCCACTCTGGTTTTCTAGTGGTTAACTGGAGATGAGAGTCTCACAGACTTTCCTGCCTGGGCTGGCTTCAACTGTAATCCTCTGATCTCAGCCTCCTGAATAGCTAGGATTACAGGCATGAGCCATTGGTGCCTGGCTACTACTGTAATTTTAATATCCTCTTCCTAAACATTTTAAATGTACAGAATCAGCTGGGTTGCAATGGCTCATCCCAGTAATCCTAGCTACTGAGGAGGCCAAGATCCTAGGATCATGATTCAAAGCCAGCTTGAGCAGCAACATCTGTGAAACTCTTTATCTTCAGTTAACCAGAAAAAAGCCAGAAGTGGGGCAGTGGCTCAAGTGGTAGAGCATCATCCTTGAGTAAAAAATGTTAAGGGACAGTTCCTTGGCCTTGAATTCAAGTCCTAGAAGCACACACATACACACACATGTAAAAACACACACAGGTGTACACACACACACATAAATGTACAGAATCACTGTTTGACTAGAAGTGAAGTGTCTCCTACCTCTTCATGGTTCTTCTTGAGGTATGTCATCTCCTCACTCAGAGACTCGTACTGCAGCTCCTGGTCAGTCTTGCAGAGGGTTAGCTCATCCAGGACACGTCGCAACCCATTGATGTCCATCTCTACATTCTGGTGAAGGGAAAGCTCATTTTCATACCTGGCGAGTGGGGGAGAGAGGCATCGGAAGACATCAGTGCAACTTAGCAGAAAGGGGAACTCTCCATTCATTTAAACCAAACCAGAAGTTGAATGAGTACTCTTAATATTATAAACAAACACAGAGAAAGCTCTCTCTTCTACTATGATCCTGGGCATGAAAATTAGCAGTCATATAACCCCACAGATTCCAATATAGCATATCTTTATTGACTTAAAAAGATATTATTTTGTAATTTTATCTTAGTTAACAGTTTTACTCAGGCAGCAAGGGGTTAACTGGGCACCTACTTTGTGCTTGGCATTATTTTAGGGAGATAGAGAGATGTATTGGTATTTTGTTCCAAGAAGATATTACATATATGGACAAATCTCAATTATAACGGATTGCAGTATCGCAGTAAAAATCCTTTGCTTATTTTTTTTTGGGGGGTCTGGTCATGAGGCCTGAACTCTGGGCCTGGGCGCTGTCCCTCAGCTCTTCAGCTCAAGGCTAGTGCTCTACCACTTGAGCCACAGCGCCACTTCCGGCTTTTTTCTTTTTGCTTATGTGGTGCTGAGGAATCGAACCCAGGGCCTTGAGCATGCAAGGCAAGCACTCTACCACTGAGCCACCTTCCCAGCCCCTCTTTGCTTATTTTTTATCTTTAGATTTTGGTTTATTTTCCTTGGGATGTAGCTGACATTTTATTTAACAAATTACATATAGGTAGGAACCTTTTTTACCCCCTCTAGACCACAATTGTTTTCTTTCACTTACTTTAGTCGGAAGTCATCTGCCGCCAGCCTGGCATTATCAATTTGCAGAATTACATTCGCATTTGCAGCTGTGGAAGCGATAATCTAGAGGAAATCAAAAGACAAATAAGTTTGCTCCCGTTATTTATTATTTCACTTAATAAAACTGTTAACATAGCTAGGTGCTGGTGGTTCATGTCTGTAATCCTAGCTACTCAGAAGGCTGAGGTTGGAGGACTGAGGTTTTTGAGGCCAGCCCAAGCAAACAAATCTGAGAGACTCTTAGCACCTGTTCACAAGCCAAGTGCTGGAAATGGAGCTGTGATTCAAGTGGTAAAACGCTAGTCTTGAGCAAAAAAGCTAAGGAACAGCACTCAGGTCCAAGCCCCAGTACCAACACACACACACACACACACACACACACACACACACACACACACACACACGTGACATAATTAAGAAATGGTTGCATAAAAGTCCACATGAAATAACCAAAACATTTAGAATTTATTTTTAAAAATTAAGAGCTAAGTTTCCATTTACTTCCATCTAGCCAATCACTTCGAGGGTATCTCACTTTCTTCTCTACAAATACATTTCCCAACGATGCAAGCCATAACCTTCTAGCTATCTTGAAATTCACGAATGAACGTGCCTACTTTGGAGCAACAGGAATGATGGTATAGTAAGTGACTGTGTATTGAAATGATGATTCTTTAATTTACCTATTTGTTACAAGTAAGTAAATCCAAGTCAGAGGGTAACTGTCCTGACGCATTTCACATAGAGGTTCTCTGCCCTGGCTAGCTATGTCTTAGTTGGACATCCCTGGGATGGTTCCATCGCTGGGGTTTCTTACCTTGCCTTTCAGATCCTCAATTGTGAGGTGATAGACACTGTAGTCATGATCCAGCCCACGGCAGGAGCCAGGTCCATATTTTTCATACCAACTCTTGATTTTTTTCTCCAGGTCTGCGTTGGCCTCCTCCAGAGCCTTCACACTGTCTAGGTAAGAGGCTAGCCGGTTGTTGAGGTTTTGCATGGTCACCTTCTCATTGCCAGACAGGAGGCCTCCCTCGCTTCCAGCAAGGCCAGCACACGCAGCGTTTCCGAGGGCACCACTCCCACCAGCAACGCTGCCCAGGCCTGCGCCCAAACCACAGGAAAATCCACTCGTGGCAACTGAGCTACCATAGGTGCTGCTGCCTCCAAAGCTTGCTCCTCTGCTGGGTGGTCTGGCGGCTGCACCCGGAGACTGGAAGCCCACATGCCTAGATTCGCCAGAACACCGGAGGGACATGGCGCTTGGCGAATCCTTCACCTCTGCCTGTGGAGAGCTGAACCTCAAAATGAGTAGAGTAGCTTGTGGGGATGGTTTCCTTGGGCTTTTATGCACAATTCCTGGAGGAGTGTGGGGGATGGGTGGTTCCTATTTGAGTTCTGAATGCCAAAAAAAAAAAAAAAAAAGAATGGCATCATTTAGATGAGGTGTAATTGGGAGATTTAAAAAAAATATAATGAAGGTCTAACATGCCTGGGTGTTGCTTCAGGATGTTTGTTATCTTGACATAAATTAGGGGTTGTTGTATTTTGAGTTCATTATTTGAGCTTCTAATTTTGCATGAGTAATTCTTCACTTTCTTTCATCTAGAACCTAAGAATATGCCATCATTATCTCGTGGAGGATAGTATCAAGTGTGAAAAGTAAAGCAAGATGGTGGTAGGGTGTCAGTTACAGTAGAGTCTCAATTATAAAGGCTCATTAACCACAGAACTATATTTTTATCCCACGAGAGCAAAAAAAAACCCCCCAAAACCAAAACCCCCAAACCATGTTATTAAAAATATATTGCCCTGTGCTAGTGGTTTATGCCTGTAGTTCTATCTACTCAGGAGGCTGAGATCTGAGGATCTCAGTTCAAAGCCAGCTACGGTAGGAAACTCTGTGAGACTCTTATTTCCAAATAACCACCCAAAAGCTGGAAGTCGAGCTGTGGCTCAAGTGGTAGAGTGCCATCCTTGAGAGAAAGAACTAAGGGACAATGCCCAGGTCCTGAGTTTAAGCCCCAGTATTGGCATATATATGCATATATATATATATATATTCCAAATATATGAGATAAAGGTATCATGGACTTTGCTGCCTGAGCTGGCTTAGAATCTTGATACTCAGATCTTAGCCTCCTGAGAAGCCAGCAGGCCTGAGCCACAAACACCCAGCTGACATTTTGTCTTTAACTGATTTCCAGCATGGGGAGCAGGACATGTTTCCCTTTCTGTTTCTTCCTGCTTTACCCCTGTTGTACTAAATAAATCCTCACTAAAATTTAAAGAAAAGAATGCATGCTGATATGAACACTTACTTTATATATCATCATCCATAATCTTGGGGTCCGGTCGTTGGCCCGAACTTTGGGCCTGGGCACTGTCCCTCAGCTCTTCAGCTCAAGGCTAGCGCTCTACCACTTGAGCCACAGCGCCACTTCCGGCTTTTTTCCCCCCCTGCTTATGTGGTGTTGAGGAATCAAACCCAGGGCCTCATGCATGCAAGGCAAGCGCTCTACCACTGAACCACCTTCCCAGCCCACCATCCATAATCTTAACATGTCGTATGAATTGTTTTCCTTAATCATTTAAATGGAAATATCTAATTAGTAGATTAGCATATAGTAAGAATTGTGAACTTTTCCCATGTCTGATGATCATTTAACCAGCATACATATTATTATTACTAGGCACTATTAATCATTACTAATTATTTATTATAATTATTAAGTAATAATTAGACAACTAATTGGTGTAATGTGTTTGCAATCTTATATGTAAATAAAATGTTTTCAAAAGAATATATTAAAAAACTCAAACAACAGAAGAGACAGGCTTCATGGTGTATATCAACAATCTCAGATACTTGGAAGGCAGCCATCTGGAAGATTGTGGTTTGAGGCCAGAAGAAAGGCAAAAGTGTTTGTGAAACCCCTTCTCACAAAAAGAGCTGGCTATGGTTGGGTGTGATGTGATTCCAGCTATGTGGAAAGTGTTAGTAGGTCTAAGTGAGCCCAGGCAAAAAATACATGACCCTATCTGAAAAAATAACTTAGCCAGAAGTGCCAGGGGCATATCCTAGGCCTAAGTTCTAATCCCAGTATTACCACAGGTGGTGGGGGGTGGGGGGTGGGGAGGAAAGCAAAACATTATTGCTTGTTTTTGGTGCTAGTTTGGGGACTTGAACTCAGGGCTTGGGCACTGTTTCTGAGCTTTTGTGCTCAAGGGTAGTGCTTTACCACATGAGCCACAGTTCCACTTCTGTGGTGGTTAATTGGAGATAAGAGTCTCATGGATTTTCCTGCCTCGGCTGGTTTCGAATGGTGATCTTCAGATCTCAGCTTCCTAAATATCTAGGATTACCTGGTGTAAGCCAACAGCACCTGTCTTCCATATTACATTTAAAAATTAAAAAAATCTTTACCTATTTGTACAAGGGAGTTGCCATTTAACGAAGCAGTTTAGGAATACAATGCATCTTGATCAGTGTCACCCCTCCAACATTCTCACCCCCTTGACCCACCTCTCCCTTTACTTTTCTTAATTTTGTGGCATATACAGTGAATTCTTGACTGCATTTTCTCCCTTTCCCCCCTTCATTTTTTATGTGAAAATTTTGAAAAGACTTAGTGTCCTCACTACATTGATTTGTCATTTTCACGATTTATACATGTCTCAAGACACTATACAAAATTACATTATATGAGAATTTAAGTACCACCAAAAAGAAAGAAAACAAGCTGCTGCTTCCTCCTCCTCTTCCTTCTCCTCTTCTCCTCCTCCCCCTCCCCCTCCCCCTCCCCCTCCCCCTCCTCCTCCTTTCTTCTTCGCTCTAGTAAGCCAATTCTTTGGCAATCCCATTTGTGGACCAAACTGGTTCTGTGCTCTCTTTCCACTAGGGGGCAGCACTCCCCTACAAATGGCTGTTGCTGCTCAGTTGCTCAGGATGAATCTGCTTGAGCCTGGGTCCTTAAGAGCTCAGAAACTTCTTTTTTCTTTTACTTTCTCTTTCTCTTTCTCTCTCTCTCTTTTTTTTTTGTGCTGGTCCTTGGGATTCAACACAGGGCCTAAGCCCCGTGCCTTAATTTTATTGCTTAAGAATCCACAGCTCCACTTCTGGCTTTCTAGGGCTTAATTGGACTAAGAGTCTTATGGGCTTTCCTCCCTGGCTAGCTTTGAACCTCAGTCCTCACATCTCAGTCTACTGACTAGCTCGGATTACAGGCTCAAGACACCAGCACCAGACTCAGAATCTATTTCCCCCCTCCAGAGCACAATGACTCAAATACAAGATTGACTTACATTGATAGGCTGATGAAGCTTCAAGGGATTTCCTGAGTATTATCTCATTTGAATTTTATAGGAAGGAAGCAGTTAAGAAGAGGGAAGTTTCCTTTGTCTATTCCAAAGATGAAGAAACTAAGGAATAGAAATGTTTGGGCTGGGAAGGTGGCTCAGTGGTAGAGCGCTTGCCTTGCATGCATGAGGCCCTGGGTTCGATTCCTCAGCACCACATAAGCAAAAAGAAAAAAGCCGGAAGTGGCACTGTGGCTCGAGTGGTAGAGTGCTAGCCTTGAGCTGAAGAGCTGAGGGACAGCGCCCAGGCCCAGAGTTCAGGCCCCATGACCGGACCCCCCCCCCCCCCCCCAAAAAAAAAAAAAAGAAATGTTCAAGAACACATAGCATCAAGCTGGGTGAATAAAGCCCAGAATAGGCCTTGTCACTTGGTGTGTTGGTCTTTTCAGTACACAGAATCATCTTAGGGATAGGTTAAAAAAGAAAAGCACAAAAATTACTCTTTAATGAAAGGCATAAACATATTCCTTTGAGTTCCCCCCCCCCCCCCAGTATTTCAAATTAATAACACAATAAAACTCTAGACTATGGCCATGTTGCCTATCAAATGCCATTCATTCATTATTTAAGAAATGTTTGTTTGATGAGCATTTATTCTGTGCCAAGAGCACAGAGGGGAAGCAACTAAAACACATTTCTCCATTCTTGTGGAGCCTATTGTTTAGTGGACAGTCTTAAGTAAGTAGCCATTATTTTAATCACAATTATAAATTGTTTTTAAAAAAAAATCAGGGAGGGCATTGGGCTCATGCTTGTAATAAGCCCATTACATGAGTAATGTAATGAGCTTGTAATCCTAGTTACTCAGGAAGCTGAGGCCTGAGCATTGTGGTTCAAACCTAGCTTGGGCAGCAAAATTAGTGAAACTCTTATCTCCAGTTAACTATCAAAGTGTAATTGTGGCTCAGGTGGTGTAGTACCAGCCTTGAATGAAAAAACTAAGGGACAATGCTCAGACACTGTGTTCAAGCCCCAGAACTAGCCAAAAAAAAAAAAAAAAAAAAAAAAAATCCAGGAGCCAGTGGCTCACACTTGTGATCCTAGCTACAAAGAAGGCTGAATCTAAGGATGGTGGCTCAAGTCTGGCCTGGGCAGAAAAATCCCTGGAAGATGCTTATCTCCAATTAACCACTCAAAAACTGGTAGTGGCTCTGTAGCTCAATTGGTAGAGTGCTAGCCTTGAGCATAAAGAGTCTCAGGGACTGTGCCCAGGCCCTGAGTTCAAGACCCACAACCAACCAAAACAAACAAACAAAAAACTTGGGAAGGAAACTAGGAGAAACTTATGATAAAAGAACCTTAATTTACATATAGGAAGACCAGAAAGTACTATCCAGGGCAGGAAATCGGAGGGACATTCTGGGAGAACATGAACAGAACACTCACATGTAGCCCTAGCATGTGTTAGCCCACTTCCCCTTGCTATAATGGGATCCTTGAGGCTGAGGCCTTTCTAATGGAAAGAGGCTCTGTAAGCATAGATTGGTCTCTGCTTGGCCCGGATAAGGTGCTCATGAGAATGCGTCACCGAGGGAGTGTGTGAGAGAGGGAAGGGACGGCAGTCAGAGCACAGGAAGAGCAGGATCGTCCCTTCAAAACCCTTGTCAGAGAACTGATCAGATTGCACATGAGCTTCATCCATTCCTTCCCAGGACAGAGCCCACAACCACTCACAGTGCCCACCAGTCAGTCCTTCTTTTTGAAAGATCCTACCACTGTCTGAACATTGTTGTGCTGGGACTAAGCTTCCCACACATGTACCACTGAGAGGACACCCTCAAATCACCCATACCCACACCAGGGGGAGAAACGTGTGTGTACAGGGCAAGAAGATGGCAGGGGAATGCCTTTAAAGAGACTTCTTGGGTAGTTTAGTATGGTAGCCTACATCTTCATAGG